CTATTACATTCCGGAGACGGTCCTTGTTTATTCTCACATGGTAAAGACTGCGAGTTATGTTGATCTTTGTTGCATTCCTGGCAACGTCTACGAATCACTGATTTCCCGTTTTCACGCATTTATATCACATAATTTAATTTGCTAAAATTTTAATACAATGTAAACGCATGTAATAATTATATGGAGATAATTTTCGCTAGAGCTCATAGACGGCCAATCTTTGTTTTATATTTAATTGTATAATTTGTGTGAAGGGTCCAATAGAGCTTGATGAATTAATTTTATGACATTAACGTTTGTATCCATATTCCGAAAGACGATGCCAATGCACAAGGATGGGTTTAATTATCATAAGAACACATTTTTCAGACATGCGCTGATGAACGCTTTTGCGTTTGATGGACATGTAAAACTACACTGATATCACGTAAATCACTAATTATTAATAACAAACTAATCCTCAACACGCTTTTTACGGAGTAATTTCCAATAATAGAACAATCCTTTTTTGCCAGGGAATCGGAAGGCGCAAACTGAGCTCTATTCGATTACACAAATCATCGTACAAATATCTGAAATATACAACATCGTTAAGCTCGGATAGTTGGTATTGCAAAAATGGTAATAGTATTAGTCCGATCATTACTTATTAGCATTGTCTGTAACAAAAGGTATAACAATAAAGGCTTGTAGCTTCAGAGATCTGCGTATCATCATTTGATAGTTTTCAATGGATATTATTGTCTTTCTTGACTTATCGCGTGCAACATATGATTGGCTGACGCATTGCTATCCGAGCAGGGTGATCAATAAATTCCCAAAAATTTTGGGGTGAATTTTTTGACATACAAAGAATCTCGTTTGGGAGAGACGATTCTTAAGTGTTGTTGTTATTATTGTCAACCATTCGTTCCGGAAAGCATTTCCGAAGCCCGACCCAGCAAAAGCGTAGCAATAGTCCCTGTTCCAAATCTTAACCAAAATTTAAAGGTCACATACTTTATTTTCTTAGCTTATCCCTTACTCAAACGCCCTCTTGACGCTTTCCATTTTAGCCCTAGTCGAGGCCTTTGTTCCCTTTTTCCTTTTTTCTGCATATTTATGTGCAAAGAATATTGCTAGATTCTTGTAGGAAGTCTTTTTCACGCTCGCATTCGTTACTTTTTATATAACTTACTGTCCCAGTGGAAGCCGTTGGTTTTTCTTTTAAAAATTTTCCATACTACTTGTCTCAGTTCCGATTTAAAGCGGACACCGGGAACTTCTTGCGCAAACTTTGTGCTCATATGCCACTCTACAATACTTCATATTGTACAAATAGATTTCACTTTCTCTTTCTTTTCACATAAATTGTCAAGTCCAGGTCAAGCTTTTCGAGTGTTAGAGAGCAAGGTTTGTAATATACAATTTATTCTTGCGTATTCATTTGACTTTTACATGAATATCCTGGTTAAGCTGAGATTATATTTTACGTTTTTACGTAAAAAACTCTTGTTTCAAATGTCAATAAAGAAGGTCCAGACAACACCTAAACCGAGATCAATAACGACCTCCATACCAAGATTCGCAGAAAATCATGGGTCAAAGCTCATCAAAAAAACGAGAGTTACGAAGCGCGCCTAGTTCCGCGTCGATGGTAGAGGAAAAAGATGCTAATATCTCTAATAATGACACCATTGGCTCGGTTAGTGGAAATGCATCTGATATCGTAGCGAACGGATCTTCAGAGGGAAACAACACACCAACATTACCAGCCTCACCAACAATGGAACCAATCCTTCGACGTCCAACTTCCTTGGGACCGTCCGGTAACGGCAACGATCTCTTTAGCAACGATGTCACTCTATCATCTACCATAACAATCGGCCATCATAATCAAAAAGATAGTACCAAAACCATTAATATCGATGATATGATACAACGATTACTTATAGCCGGAAACTCTAACAAAGTGTCAAAATCCGTGTGCCTTCGCAACGCAGAAATATCCGGAGTCTGTCAATTAGCACGTGAAGTCTTTTTATCACAACCATCTCTTATAGAACTTTCCCCACCAGTAAAAATCGTCGGAGACGTCCATGGGCAATATTCTGATCTTATCCGATTATTTGATATGTGTGGATTTCCACCAGCAGCCAATTATCTTTTTCTAGGAGATTATGTAGATCGTGGCAGGCAGAGTCTGGAGACTATATTGTTATTGTTTTGTTACAAAATTAAGTATCCGGAGAATTTTTTCTTGCTAAGAGGAAACCACGAGTGTGCGAATGTAACACGAGGTAAAATTATTTTCAAAAGTTTTCGTGATGACGAGAAATGATTTTTGCGCTGGAACTACTTTTGTGTGGCGCATTGATCAAGACAAGGGCAAGGAAGGCGGAGAAAAAGATTGAACTTGTGAAGTGGCAAAGATCAATATCTGCTAATAGTGATCACTCGATGCTGGTTCAATATTTTGTCTTTCCCATGTATGCATGCTCTTTTTGTTTATCCTATCTTGATAAGGTCGCTAACCTGTCGACTCTTTCTTTTTTTTTTCTTCCTGCTTTTATTTATACTTTATTCCTTACTTCAATCTGAACTTTTCTAGTCTATGGCTTTTACGATGAATGTAAGCGTAGATCAAGTGTCAAAATATGGAAGACGTTTGTTGACGTTTTCAACTGTCTACCGATTGCGGCGGTCGTGGCTTCCAAAATTTTCTGTGTTCATGGTGGTCTCTCACCAGCTTTATCTTCTATGGACGAAATCCGTCATATTTATCGTCCGACCGAAATACCGGATTATGGGCTGTTGAATGATTTGCTCTGGTCTGATCCATCTCTAAACGTAGAAGAGTGGGAAGACAATGAACGTGGAGTGAGCTATTGCTTTGGGAAATCGATTGTGAACGAGTTCTTAAAAAGGCATGACTTTGACCTTGTCTGTCGTGCTCATATGGTTGTTGAAGATGGATACGAGTTCTTTAATGACAGAACTTTGGTAACAGTGTTCTCTGCACCGAACTATTGTGGCGAGTTTGATAATTATGGTGCGGTAATGGGTGTTAGTGAGGACTTGTTGTGCAATTTCGAATTGCTTGAACCGAAGCCGCTCAAGTCAAAGACGAAACCAGGGTATGTGGTTTGATATGTAGAAATGGCTTGTTCTTCGTTTGTATGTGTTATAATTTGAATCTCGGCTAAAAATTTTTCATTCTACAGTTACGTGCCGCATAGTCCGCCAGTCAAGGGAGTTCCCCAGTCGGTGTGAATGTCGGTTATAATGGAGTGTTGGCAACCTTTATATACGCGCATTATACATTAGATTCTGCGAGCGAACATTACGCATTTATCTTGTACTACAATTTTTTCTGGACGGGCTTCATCTTCACCTTGCTCCTCTTCCATTCTCTTATAATATTGTTTGTGTTAAGGATTGTTACATCCATACGCGTTTTGATTGTCTTTTGCAACTTTGACACCGTTAGCGCTTGTATTTTCCTACTTTTTAGTATAAATGTTATTACCAAGATATCTGAATCAATTCCATTTCTATTTATTGATGAACTTTTAATAAGGCGATTAGATACCTTATCTATACTGGAAACAGCTTTCGGCTGCGGGGATGATTTTAGGAAAATGGGTAGGAAGGGACGAGCGACCAGACACGAGACGACGAGTTATCATTCTCATCCTTATTTTCAGTGTAGATATATTGGGTATTTTGACTAGGCAGCGGAATTTCGAATTAAAAAAACTGGTCTATTGAAAGCTAGTTCTGTTGGGGAGCAAGGAGAATCTATAACGTTGTTAGATAGAACGCTATAATATCTTGGAAAAGGTTATATTCATGTAACGATTTTGAGTCGCTTGTCTGTCCATATGGCTTGTTAAAACTGAACAATAAATGCAAATTATACTAGCGGGACGTAGACTTTATGTTTGCTTGCATGAACGTAATGGAATTGGGAATGTTGTTTGCTATTCTGCATAGAATTCACACTAAACGTACGTTAACGTACACTAGGCAAAGTATAATCTCCTCACGTGATAAGCATCGTGTTACAAAACATCATACGATTATCATGCGACAAAAATGAGCTACTTGTCAATCGAGAAAAAGTCTGGCATGATTGACGGTGATGTAATTGCGGAAACAGCTGATGAGAACAATGAATAGCCATGTGCGTTAGTGACGCTACGATTGAACAGGTGTTTGTCATGCGATGAATTGACGATGATGCAATTGAGGAAACAGCTGAGGAGAACGATGACAGCAATAGCCATGTGCATCACTAAGAAATGACTTGAAAATACAGTATACTCAATTAATGTATTTGCAGAACAGGGCGACTTTTATGCTGTTAGAATGTAGACTCGTAACGTCAAGCAGTAAATGCGAGGAAACGAATATCACTGTTACATAATAAAGTTAACTTCACGTGAGTTTGATGCGAAAACCGGGTATGAATGATAATAAACAAACTATAAATTTTACTCGTTTTCTGGCGCAATACATAGATATTTTATTATTATCTCACGAGCACCTGTTCCAATCACAGAAACGCTTTCACGGTCTTCTCGGTCATAAGCGTTGGTGACTTTCTCACGCACCCTTATTAAATTGACATGTCTTTTTATAGATTAGGAGGGTATTACGGACGTTTCTCGAACGTAATGTTAAGATAGCATATTATTGGTGGAGACAAGTAAAGTTGATCATTATACCCAATAATGTTCCAAATAAACGCGCATTTTACTGCTGCAGCATGTGATATCGTCGTATCGCGTTTTATTTTGTTATCAAATAATGTGCAATGATCGGATCTGGAATACTGTTTTCGTGAACAAAGGCTTGCGTGTCACTAAAAACGTTTATTTCTAAAATTTGCATTTTTCGAAAATGAAACAACTTTCACTATCCATTCAATGGTTCAGCATACATAATTCGGTATTGGTAATATTAACACTCAAACAGCACTGCAAAAAATGACATTACAAATACGAGCATGTATGAAAAAAAAATGTGATGACAAAAAAAAGCATTTTTCAATACGTACATAATGCTTGCATACATTTACTCATGACTTGGCAAAATTAAACTGCAAGCCTTTTGCTTTCTGGCTTATTCTTGACTCAGTCCATAACGTTTTCTTGACAGCTATTTCTCGAGAATCAGACTTTTTTTGTTCCACAAAAAGTTCCCGCTGCCATTGTTTCGCGCTATATTTTATCTTACGAGTCTTTTTGCCCAATGGGCAGCAGATTTTTCAATTCGGTTAGCCCCGGATCTAATATTATTGCCTAAACGGGTAGTAGCAAGTTCAAACTAGTTTTTCTCGTAAGGTAACGGAAAGTTTGCTGTTATTGTGCCTTGTCGCCCCTTTTTGTAGGATGAGGTGATCAATTGTGCTGCAGAGCGACAGCGCAAGATACATGATTAAAACCTGATCCATAAAAGTTTTTTCTTTGCGCCCAATCCGTGAGAACAAATTCTATAGTTTTTTCCCACCCGAAAAGAAAAACAATCATGTAATCGAATATCCCAGAGTCCTCGAACAGCTACCAGTCCTAAATTAACTTATTCAAACATTGCAACTTGTTGGTTTTTTTTTTCGGTCTGTATTTAGACGCATTCCCTGTTTCACTACACTTCACTGCACTTCCGACTTTCGCCATTATTCGCACACTATCGGAAATTTTCGTAAATTCCCACAGCCGGGTTCTGCCGTTTAATACCGATTTCCTCCGCAAATTAATTTAGCTTGTTTACCGACTTGCTTTTAACGTAACCTCCTAATCATTGCAACAATGATGCGTATAGGCGTATCCACTCTATTTAAAAGCCGACTCACCACACCATTGCTCTGTAGCTTTACGAAAGCGAATTTACAAGTCATCCGACCTTCTATATACACTATTAGAAACTTCAATACTACTAGTCTAAACAAAAAACAAACACAGATGGGCCACGACAAGGAACTCTTTGATATCGATTATGAGCGAGTGGCTATTCAATGGCAACCATCCGTTGCTCAGTTGTATGAAGACGCTTTGAAATACGAAACGGGCTCTGCTATCTCGTCCGCTGGTGCACTTATAACCGCTTCTGGTACAAAGAAAGGTCGTTCTCCAAAAGACAAACGTATCGTTGACGAGCCTTCTTCGTCGAAAGATGTTTGGGTAATGTTTTCTAACAAACCTTTGTCTTTTGTCATCGTTTTTCAGGTTGAGTTTGTATCGCATCTTAATCTGACTTTTATTTGTACTTTGATAGTGGGGTCCCGTAAATCAAAAACTCCCCGAACACGTCTTTCTTATTAACCGAGAGCGTGCGATTGATTACTTGAACACTCGAAGCCGCATTTATGTATTCGATGGATTTGCCGGATGGGATCCAAAATACCGTATCAAAGTTCGAGTGGTTTGCGCTCGTGCGTATCATACGCTGTTCATGCAGAATATGTTGATTAGACCGACTGCTGAAGAACTGAAAGATTTCGGTCAGCCTGATTTCACGATTTACAATGCTGGTACATTCCCGGCCAATCGTTATACAACCGGAATGACGTCTACGACTTCTGTTGCTATCAATTTCAACATGAGAGAAATGGTGATCCTCGGTACCGAATATGCCGGCGAGATGAAGAAGGGAATGTAAGTACAAGTATTGAGGAATTCTCACGCTGCCGTCGATCATGTGACACGTGACTAAATATTTTATTTATTTTCCGTTACAAAGTTTCACGGTGATGCATTATTTGATGCCTACCAAACACAATGTACTCTCTCTCCATTCGTCGGCCAATGAGGGACCTGATGGAGACGTTTCCCTCTTCTTTGGTTTATCGGGTACAGGAAAGACTACGCTCTCAGCTGACCCTAAACGTTTCCTCATAGGAGATGACGAGCACTGTTGGTCCGATGATGGTATATTCAATATCGAAGGTGGATGTTACGCCAAGTGTATAGGCCTGTCAGAAGAGAAGGAGCCCGAAATTTTCAACGCCATTCGATTTGGATCGGTCTTGGAGAATGTAGTATATGATCCGAAAACACGGATTGTCAATTATAATGACAATTCGTTAACTGAAAATACAAGATGCGCTTATCCGATAGAATATATTCCCAATGCCAAGATACCTTGCATATCGTCTTCGCATCCAAAGAACATCATCCTCCTTACGTGCGACGCATATGGTGTTTTGCCGCCGGTTTCCAAACTCAGCTCTGCGCAAGCCATGTATCATTTCATCGCTGGATATACCGCAAAGATTGCCGGCACAGAAGATGGCGTAACTGAGCCCCAAGCGACATTCTCAGCATGTTTCGGACAGCCATTCTTGGTGTTGCATCCAGCTCGATATGCAAGGATGTTGGCAGACAAAATGGACCATCATGCGGCTGATGCATGGTTAGTCAATACTGGATGGAACGGTGGAGCATATGGTGTTGGAGAACGTATTGCTTTGAAATATTCTCGGGCGATTCTCGATGCCATTCATTCCGGGGAATTGGCAACGGCAGAGTATGAAAACTATGATGTGTTCAATTTGAAGATACCCAAAAAAGTATCTGGTGTACCATCTGAACTATTACACCCACAAACTACATGGAAAGGTAGCAAGTCGGAATACATAGCCACGAGGAATAAGTTAGCAACCCAGTTTATTGAAAACTTTAAGACTTATCAGGAGGATCCGACTGCGGCTGCGGTGATTTCTGCTGGACCCGTTCTATAAGAAGAGTTATTGCTCTGGTGGCACGTGAGTGACGTGTATTTATTCATTCGTATTTTTGATGGACACTTTTGAATAGAAGACAAAAGTTTAATCAATGTAATACATTTCAAAAGATAATTCGTATGATACCAATCTTATTTAGATGATTCTTATCCGGTTTTTAGAAAAAGAGTGCTAATAAATAAAACATTAAAAGTATTGAAATTGTTTTTTTACTAATCGTGTTCCGAACAATTCCGTTATTAATTATTGGAAACTTAAATATTGCTTAAGAAAAGCTATTGGCTCGATTAAAGTTCACCAAACGTTTGTGTGGATTTGACTTGGTTACACATACCTGTCAACCGCTAACCGAATTTGCTCTAGGTGTTTCCGCCATCCATGTATAATGCAGATAATGTCATGAATGTCATTAGCACGCCCTTTTTTTTACCTCCTGGTTTTAACTATTTAACCACTAGTGACTTACGACCCCTGTTACTCCGTGTTAATACTACGGGTTTGCGCTTAAAGGTTTTCGAATTCGTCGACTTGGCGTCTACACAACTTGACGAATTTGTCTGTAAGTGGAAAGCAAACTGTCTGCAGGATCCAAACAAATAACCAAAAGCGTTCAACCTCATGTAAACAATAACCTTTGTGTATTCTAGAATAAGTTACGCACTCAATGCTACACTGCATAGCAACTTATTAATCGATGATCTTTAAGAATTCCTCATCCAGCATGCTCAGCTTTGCCTTCATCTCTGTGTTTTATCTCTAGATGTTCCATTTCATAGAGAACGAACAAATTAATATCGTATAATTATGTCCACCTTTACAAGTCTATTGGCAAAGCATTTGACGAGCTCATCATGGATGGCGATAATGTTAGTAGTGGCTGTAGTATGCCTATCCACATCGGTAGGCGCAACAGAGAATCATATGTTTGGAGTGTACTCATACAGTGAGTGTTATAGAACATTATCGACGAGTGGTCATAAAGTCTCAACAGATACTAACTTTTCATTCTACGGTAACAGCACGAGCAAATGACTATCCGATGGATGTTACTTCATATGCTATGGCTATAATATTCTTATTAACGGGAACAGTGAGTTTATTCCGTGGCAACAAATATAAATGGCTTACGATAGGTTTAGGTGGATTTTATACGGCAGGTATGTGAGTGCGAGAGATCTACAAACAAGATGTTTGTAAAAAAGGAAAAGTACTTTAATTTGGTTAACCTTTCCTTGCTCAATTCAGGGATAATGATAGCTTTGTTCGTTCTCAAATTCCAAAATGTTACGAATCCATCAGAAGGCGTTCGTTTTATATATTTAGCCATCGGTATAGCAGCAGGTGTAGCGACGGGGCTATTCTTTGTTTGCATGTGGCCGTCTGGGCGAATTCTTGTGGGCGCAATTGGCGGACATTGTTTGGCGTTTATTCTTTTATCGACTCGCACAGACGGACTGATAGAACTCCATATACCGAGATATATTTTTATGGCATTATTTATTGTGTTGTTTGGAGGAGCATCAGCTTTTCACAGATTATATCCATATGTCGCCATCGCATCAACCGTATTCACCGGAGATTATTTAATAATGCTCGGAGCCGATATATTTGCAAAATCTGGGTTACTGGCCGGGTATAAATATACTTGGGGATTCACACAGCCGGATGATTATAGATACACTGTGGAAGTTGACAATGGCATAATCTTATTGACAGTTGGATTGGTAGGCACGTCCGCCGGCTTTTTCGTGCAAACATATGAGCTATGGTACACAAACAAGGGCTTTCCCAGTATTAGTATCCAACGGAAAAATCAAGAAAATCAAGGAAATCAAGAAGATCCAGAAAATCCAAAGGTGCCCCCTCCGGATGCCAATGCTGATACATTAAGATCTGCGAGCCGCAATGACAATGGCAATCGATCATCAATCGGTGCGGGTGTTGATCATACTAGGAGAGAGTCACGTGAAAATAAACCATGGGGGATGGTATCCTCCACGCTGGCGTGGACAATGGGAAACAGGGCGTCCTATTTTGGTAGGACGAATGTAGCCTGGGATTTGAGATCTCTCGCAACGACTGAAAGATCAATATATGGCGGATCGACTAAAGAATAATGGGTCTCGAATATTGTACAGTGTTTTATTAACAAAAAAGTATGTTTCAAAAAATAATCATTTCGCACTATTTAAATATCCCCAAAATAAAATACGAACATTCTAATTTCCTTGAGAAACCTCTAACACAACACTTGCAGAATCAGTCCTAACCGATGGTCAAGGAAGACTGACAATAAAGTCTTGTCATAATCAAAAGAAAGGGGGAAGGTGTGGCTCATGAAAAATATTATAGTAACGTTTCTAAAATATATCTGTTTAAATCAGAACTTTTGCGATCACGTTTAACAGTCATAAACAATCATAGCCAACGGTTGTTGTCTTTAAGAAACCAAAAAAACTACGTAACTAAATCATTTAGTGAAATTTCTAAAGAATTTTGTAGCTTCACCCAAACCTGCTGATTTTTGATTGAAATGTCGCCCAACCAAAGGTTTTTTTAGATTAATGTTTGGTGTTTTTTCTTTAATTTACGCAAAATGTGAGTTGATTATTTTTATTGGGTAGTATTGCAAGCATATTAAGGACTTTTACGCTATCACATTTCAATGTACTGTACATTGATTTAGGCGATAGCATATTTCTGCCGACATGTAAAATAGCTTCCCAAACGATGATTAATGATTGTATATAACGCTAAAATTTGCGTTTAATATTAAGTAAAGAAACTTAAATATAACGATGCAAAAGAATGCATGTGACCGGCATACTAAAACCCTAATTAATAGTTTATCGTTTAACACTTTTTACATAGTCGCGTCGCACCCAAATTTATATTTTGTTGGGAAACACAAAATTCCTCTCACTTGATAATGTGAATGGTTGAATGTTGGAAAAAACTATTCTTCACGCATTCAAAAACACACATGATTCGTTAGAAAAAGTCTCAGGATCACTAATCATATACACAACAATTGTGAAGACTAACACTTTTTGTTGCAATTTGCAAACCAATCTAGTAGTATTCTTCCAAAATTCAAGAGAATTTTTTAAATCAGAGGCTTTCGAGACATGTGCGAAAACTGACCTTGGATAATGCTTTCTGGGTTTATTTTTACGTATATCAATCATCAATACATGCTTCACGCTTTTCGAAAAGTTACATACAGTAATAATAACAACATGTACATAGTTCACCCGCGTTTACGTTTGTGAAAAGACAAAATGTACCAAAGCGCCAGAACCGTGTTAGTATATAGCGAACCAACAAGACACTTGTCTCTGTCGATTACTCGCTCTCTTATGAATTATAATTAATATATGACATGTCAAATTATTTCTTTAATATTAAGTTCTTCCCGACATTATCAAATACATGCCTGCTCGGTATTGAAGTTTGCATCCACAGTAATAGGAATAACGTACGAAAGTAATAAATAATACGAGATGGTAACGGCTAGCTTGGCCAACAGCAAACACAGCAACACGGATACTCTTTCCCTAGTATAGTATTCAGACATCTCGTTCTCTTAACTTTCCTATCAGTATTATTGGCCGTTCGTGCTAGAGCAAGACTACAAATGGTATGAGGGGGAAAGGGAATGAGGAAAAAAGCCACCACTTATTACTTTATAGACATTCATTGTTAAATTTACAGAATCTTCTCTACATCAAACCAAAGGATATACACCCCAGTTACCAATATCTAATAAATATACTACAGCCATATATTTTCTATATGATTTACCGGTGAAATACTTTCGAACTCCATTATGCATCTGAAAATACAAACAAAATCAGCATATCGTTCAATGAATGGGAAAACTGTCCCAATATGATAGCTTACTTACCCATAGTTTTCGTCTGCATTAGCAATATATAAACCTTCCGTATCTGGCGTGAAAGAAACACCAGCAATCTCACCAAATATGTCTATAACTTGAGATCGATCAAAGGTCTTCGCATCAAATACGTGAACAAAATCAGCAGGTTCTATAGAAATATATTTTGGACGTTAGCTATGAATGTATTCACTGAAATGCAAAAATTTAATCAAATACGTACCTGCCATAGCCATATAACGGCCGTCTTCAGAAAAATGAAGAGACCTGACTGCCCCCAGTCTGGCACCCAGCACCCCCAGAGTCGTGGACATTTTTCGTACATCGTACAATCTACAGTCGAACAAGTTTAAAAATTGGTATTTCCGAGGTAAATGGTATAACATGTGCTTAGCGTATATGTTATCATGCTCACCGTGTAGTTTTATCTTTACGTACGTAACCGAATACAATCACAGTTAGTTACGCGATTGACTCTGCTTAAACATTGGACCAGTCACCGACTAACCTTGATTCCCTGTTGCAATAAGCAGGCCATCCGGACTCCAGCAGCAAGCAAAGGAATAGTCTAAATGACCGACCAGCGTTGTAATATCTATAAAAGACGAATTTTAGAAGTTAACATAATTTTTCAAAATATCCCGATTTGGAATAAAAACTTATAGCTGCCACGCACTTTGACCACTATTAGCATCGACGATTTTTGTGTCAACATCGTCTCCAACAACGCATAACATACTCTTGTCCGGGCTGACAGCTGTGCACTATGAAAACAATAAGTATAACCAGTAAGCAAGCAATGAATGAAATATACGGTTCGCGGTTTTAAAGGAATCAGCCCCTATCCCTCAGAGTATGGATTGACAGGTAAAATAATATTTACGTTAACTGGCCACTCAAAGTCGTAACTGTTTGTGAACTTCAAAGTTGCCAGATCCATTATACGTGACTTATGATCGTTACTCGAAATAACTGCAACAGTAGCTGTACCGTCCAATGTGATGCAACTTGTTAATTGATGGACATTCACGAGCGTAAATTCATTATCTACGCATTAAACTTAAACTCACATCCAGCGCGGGATTTAATAATGTCTATGTGGTTAGTTATTCCATTATTATCTTCTGTTATAACGTCGTGATGTATAGTTGTAGAGTCCAAACGCCGACATGCATATTCGCCATATAAACCTGAAAGAATCGCGCGAATATAAGTATATGCTATAGGGCAACATGTCGAGTCGTACAAGATGGTAATATACCTCCGGCAAGCAAAAAGTCATATTTGCATGCTATTGTACTTATGTCAAAGCTGTGTTGTGATCGTCCAAGTGGTTGAGAGTCCAGCTCAAACCGTGTTTGTTTCCGTATTGAATTCCAATGACCTATTCGTGTTCCATCTAATAAGTCACAATAAGTAATCAGTTATCATCTTTTTCTGCCGTTATATGCACAGTGACACTCGGAAAATAAAGACACCAACATGTAAAATACACGTCGTTTCTAGTGGTAGCCCATAACAAATTTCGCAACTGGAAATGGACAATCGAGCATTTGTGTGTAAGAGTCGTGTATTTGAATTTGTAGTATTGGCCATCAGTCTGAACCGGTTTGAGATCCTAGCAAGTATCAACAGCTTAGCACGCTTATCAAGAATAACATCAAGGCTATCAATAAATAAAAAACAAACCTCTCGTTTGAGATTATTCCTCTTTGGAATATTCTCATAATTTGTGTATTCTGCGAGACTTTTCGATCGATTTATTTATGCAATGGTAAAATTAGTTATGGATGATGATTATATAATTCGAACCATCAGTCTATAATTAATACGAACCGGACTTCACGATATCCGTCACGAGTCACATTAAAAGCCTCCCAGGTTATTCCTTGCTGTGCAGTAAAATTGTGAGTTATGCATAATGACGCTTACCTTGTCACACACAAATTCTCCCACATACCATGTCAACACCGTTTTCCACATCTTGAGCCGTTACTTCCCGAATCTATTTAAACAACCATGAATGCGCACAGGTTACATCTTGAAAGATTGGGAGAATCTAAATAACACGAAACGGCATGAAAAAATCAAAGAGTCGTACGAACCGACAAGAAAGATCGTTTTCGTTCTGCGTAAACGGGCTCTCGGGCTGCGTAATTCGGAGCAAAGAGTATGAATATGCAATCAAATAAGAATATCGAGAAGGAACAGAAAAAAAAAACTAAAATACAACAACAGGGACTTACGAGTCCACTCGCAGTGCAAATGATCCGGTATACAGTTGAATACGGTTTCGTCAGATTGCAGTGGTTCGGTTCGATCGCTCATTTTATATTAGAGCGTTGCTTTGATTAAACGAGTTGAGCAGTTGCAGAGTTGTCTGGACAGCAAGGGGACGTAGAATCAAATAATACTGTTAGCGTAACTTATTTTCCCGGCTAATATAATAAAGTAGACTCTAGATAGAATACCTAAAGCAGGTTAAGTAAATTGGAACCGCGCGAACAATTCAAAGGAAGGGAAGAAGTCCCACGGAAGGTTTAACGGCGCATGACCTCATAATGCATTGATAATCCCTAACATTGATAATATCAATTTGGTCACACGATATGGGGATAGCAACCAAATTTGTTTACGCCACATCAAAAAACACTTGATCAAAATTCATTTATGGAAATGAACATTACGATCGATTGAATAGATAGTAATAGCAACGCAACGCTTACTCTGTTATCTGTCTCGACGATTCGCATAATCGGCGTTATTGGTATTGATTGTTGCTCAGATTTAATGCGATCATTACGTGAGACCACGAGGCATAATAATAATGTCCGAACATTTCAGCGGTCTGGAATGTTTTGAATGTATATGTTTTCAATGTTCGTCATAACTGATCTGCGTCATTGTTGGCAACAAGGAATACGTTTTTGCTGCTATCGGAATTACGGGTTATAGGAATACCGTTGTATTCTCGACTGTCACATACTGCAAAGATAAAGTACAGAATTTTGCCCGAACAGTTAATCCTCAATAGCATATGACATATTTAACTCTTTGGATTCGCGATAAAGTCAAATAACCTAAGAATGTAGCACCTACCATAGCGCCCCTTCCCCCAATAAAGCAAAAATTTTTTAAATTCACATTATTTTTCAACCATGTTTAATCATATGTTTTGGCTCACATTTCCAGGATAAGATTATTACTTTTCTAAATGACAGATATAACATTCTCAAAAAATTAAACGGAATGCTATTTGGAAGTTTTTAATCTTTACTATCTATACTAACGTATTGGTTGGTTTTTTAGCAAAAGAAAGTTGTACTTATTGTGTTTAATAATAATAATGTACTAGAAAAACATTAATCTTTTTACAAAGAAATATTTTTTACTAAAATGCCTCCGAGCATGAATTTATTAAATGAAATTGGAACTCTCTTTTGGGTCGGATTATGGCAGAAAGACTTACTTCCCTTGAACTTATTATTATACTAGCTCAAGAGAAAAGCCTAACAACTACGACGTTTACACCTGTAACAAACATCCATATTAATTAGTCGATTCATTGTCAACAATCTGTTGGCGATTTTTCATCGATTCAACTAAGTTTTTTCAAAAATATTAATTAATATTATTCCGCTCGTCCTGTATTAAATGATCGGGAACTGTAATAGGCTGTTTGGTGTTTTCTTAATACCGGCCCAACACGAAACTGCAATACCTTGAGCCTGCAACTTGCTCACTAACTTCCTTAGTGAATTTAATTACGTAGTGTTTAATAACTCTTGTCGCATTATAACCACACCATTTCAGTATGGACTGACCTGTCAATTTACTTGATTCTGAAATAAAAACTAGTGTTTTGCTCAAATTAAGTAGAGCAAAAAAGGCTATTATAAAATGTCAACTTCTTTCCCACACGCTGTGATTCATTACTGAAGCATGATCAATAGTTTCCCGCATACTACTTCTTCACAGCACAACGTATTGACCTGGTTACTAATAATTTTGTATGCTTGTCAAAGAAAGTTGTAGTGCGCTACGCTATTGCTATAAACGTAGATGCAAAATATTCCATTCACTCAACATCATATCTACTGAGACAAAAGGCATATCCTATCGTACGCCCAAAATTTAGCCAAATCCTCGTCTATGCCTTTTGAGGAAATCGAACATTTAGTAAAAAGGCGTGAATTTCGTCATCAAATTATATTATTTTATTATGTATATTTTCGTACCAAAAATGTCCTCTTGCGTTATTACATTTGTAAATACTATATTAAAATATATACAACCGCCTCAGTTTCTTTTCGTTGAAGCCAATTCCACCCTTCTCTATACAAATATTATTCTACTAATCATATCGGGGTATGTATTTTCCGGACCAAAAAAATATTACTAATAAAAAGATTTTATACACAAGTTTTTGGTCCAGCAAATACGTATTGGTTTTTACCTCGAAATGTTTTCTTTTCTAGAAAGCGGGGGAAGGCTTCCATAGTATTACTGACGAACGGTTTTTGTCTAGAATTTTTCTCTCGGAAATTTCGAATTTACTTCATACTCCAAATGAATAGTATTGATGGATGTTACTCATTCTCTCAGGTCCAGTCTCGGTGATATCCAATTTCCTTCCATGAACTCGGTCCGCTTTAATTCCATCTTTTCTTTCAATCTTGGCGTAATACCATCTTCGCCCATAATTCTTTACAATCTTCCATTTGGGCAGAGTGCCCAATTTGCCCAACAATGCCTGAGACAATTCGATCGTGTGTATTTGATGCGACTCGTTCTTGATCAGACTGGTTAACAGCGTGTTTGTTGTGATTAGGTTTAGACAAGGAACGTTTGTCAAGTCAACGTATTCGAGTTGAGGCATCGAGGAAAGAAAATCTGTGATACATGCAAGTGACGTGATTGGTGCATTAGCAAGTCCAAGTTTTTTCAATTTGGTTGAACAGTTCTCTTTAATAGCACGCAACACGCTGGGCATGATATAAGTCGATCCGATATCCAAAGTTTCGATATTCTTCATAGTTTGTGATCTCATAATACGGATCAAACTCTGTTCAGTTAATGCAGTGGTGACCGGTCTGTCCGAATACACATTCAAATGCACCAGTGACTGACATTGCTCGACAAAGTCCGCAATACCATCGAATGACAGCGCCTTACACTTGGCAGTCGACAAATGTGTCAAAGTGTTTGGAATGTTGGTATAGTCCATCATGAATCGCAATGTAACGTCTGTAATCGAACATCCACCCACGTCCAAGTGGGTAAGATTGGGTGAGTGAGCGAGAAGAGGAATGATGACGTTGTATTCGCCCAGGGTCGTGCATTCGTGTAGAGATAGCCGTTTAATGTGTGGAAAGAGAGCAGCGGGAGTGACAAACTTGTAGCCAGATTCGTCATAGGTTATTTGAGGCCTACCCATTTGCGCGGTTAGCCTATTCATTGCGTCAGTGAACGTTTTCCTCGAAAATCCGCAAAAATCGATTGTTTTGATGTTGTTGCAATCAAAGAATAGCGTCTTCAACACATCGAAGGTGAGAGCTTCCTCCAGAGACTCGGAAACAGACAAGGATTCCAAAGAGGAGCATGTACGGAATATTTTGACCAATGTGGATGGATCGACTATGTTCTGCAAAGATGCATAACTCTTTTGTAATCCTATGGTTGAGAACGCAGACAGGTCAAGGTGCTTGATCCATTGAGTGCGGTAAGTCGGATAATTGACGGTGTTTGCAAAGAGCGAAAAGTTATATGGGAATGCGAAAGAAACGGTCGAGTAAAGTATTGGAGTAACATGAAGATTGAAAGTGCTGTTTACTCGGGCACAAGCAGCGAGCGCCTGCCTGTCATTTTTGAGAAAAGAGAGAACGATTCGGATGATTTCAGGAGGAATGTACGGAAGACGAACGGGTTTGATAATGAAAGAGGGGGATTGAGAAGAATCGAAGATATTGTCGGGGCAAGAGCGGAGTAGAACTGCAGACATTGAAGATGAATTATGGAATCGCAATCGTGTGTATGGTAAACTTTAATCAGTTGTAATTGAATTGATAACTCTGCTATTAAGGTTATCAGTGAAGATCAAAGTGGGAGGAAGCTTGGGTATGAAGGCAGTCTTTATATACTCGATGGAAAAATAAGCCGAATGGGACATTAGTAATATATTTCAATTTTAAGGTGTGTATTTATGTATATGTATATGTGTGTATATATTCATTACTGATTGACGTAATGTATATATTCGTGCTGTGTAATTTTATGTAGACAATATGATGGTAATTTTTTATGTCGGTTATTGGAGCATAAACAAACATAATTATGTCATTGAATCACCATTGTCATGATGAGCGGCCGTTGTGTCTTCTGATACCAAATATGGGATGCATCGCATCAAACGGCACAAATAAGGCAGTTAATAGTGATAATTGCATACAATAGGAAATTATATTGACCAAGTGTACGTTGCACAATAATTATAATGTAGTGGGCTTACATTGTGAGTATGTTATACCGCAGCACCAATATGCTTGTTGCTCTCATTGTAATTACCATGAAATAACAGACATTCCCCCACAGATCATACCAAAGGAAAACGGCCCGTTATGGTTGTCCGAAACACACAGTTCTCTGCTGTTTCTCACGCCATTGTCAACTGTGCTTACATTATTGATGGTGCCCGATTTAAGCAACTAGTATGAAGTACTTGTTCCAACGCACATAGAATGTACATGTACATGTATACGTACAGTACATACATGCATGCAAATGTTCGTGGGAACATTTATAAATCGGGAAGCCACAATTGATGATGAAATTTTTAACTTTGTGTTGTTATCTGATTCTTTTATCCAATAACGATTGTGAATTCGAATGCGTTCATACGCTGTATTCTAATTGGCGGATATTTTCTAGAAACAGGAGGGGAGGAGAAGGAAGGGGAGGAGAAGGAAGGGGAGGAGAAGGAAGGGGAGGGGAGGAGAGAAGGAAGGAGGGACGGAAAGAGGGAACGGAGAATGTCAGAACAGTTGCCAATTTGAATGGGACATTTGTATTGCCCGCTTTTGCTTTCACTGCTGTTGGACAGTCACCATCCGTTGATCGAAACTTGTTCAGGCCTGGACACTGAGGGTTAACTGTTGTTTCAACAAGTTTGTTCAAGAAGAAAAAAAAAAGTTATGGCTGAAAAGTATGGATGCGCCAGCCTCGCTTAAACTATTGTCCCGATGGGCTTAATACGATGTATCGCTAGCAATAGCTATACCAGATAGATGTATATTTTTTATTGATATTGGCACTGTATAAATGTAACACTACAAATCATTAATGACTAATACATGCAATTGAATCGGCGAGAATCGTCTCTAACATTTATGATTTAGAATACCCTTTGTAATCACGCAAGAATAGTTAACTTTTGTAACATATTCCTTCTATCAAGAAAATTCTGCAAGGGAAGCGTTGCATCTGATAATCAATTGGACGACTGAAATGGTGATATGACGTTCTATGACACCGTCTTTTTGTCTTTTAATTTTTGGTGATATCTTATTGGATCTACGGATTAAATTATTTCTTTTTTGTCATCTTTTTTGTTGGGGGAGGGAAAAGGAGTTGTTGGTTTTTTTTTACTTCCCGCTTTGGATCTAATATTTGGAAACACACCCGATCCACTGTTATACAGAATGTTGCCATTTAAGCATTAGTAATGTTTTTATTTACATAAACCGTTTAATACGGCCGATAAAATAATTGATGTTTGTTGTATTACTAATTATATAATTATTCAAACAATTTATTCTGCAGACATATTATCGTAACCGTGATTTCCCATTATTTATACCGTTCGTACGACAGCCTCCTCGTTCATACAACCAATTATCTGAATGGCGCTAATTTTACCCTTTGTTTGGCTTACACATAATTTATATCTAAGGTTGTCTTGATCATCTTATCTCAATCAACACATGAAAAAGCACACAATATTAGACTAATGCACTGCTTATTATGGGAGTCGAAAATGTGGGGTAGAATGGGAGTAATTACTGATTGTCCTTGTTGATGGTAAGTGTCAGCACATGCGTGGTTCATCAGCATCAGCGACAAGTGAAAATGTCGGAAATGATGAAAAAAAGAAAGAAAAAGAAATTTTCACAAGTGATAATGTTAATAGATTATAGTAAGCATATTATTAGATAATATACATTCGTACGATCGCTGTACAAACTATGCATACGATATAATGTACACACCATATCTTTTTATGCCTTTGTAGTCATTCCCATTACAACGAACATTCTTTATACACACACATCCATCAATTGTTAATTCCCCACCTCCCAAATCTTACGTATTCTGTGTCCCAACGTGACCCTTTTCTCCTGAATAGTGGGGAGCACATTGCAGTGTGCATGATCAAGAATGACTCACACCATCCAAGTCATTTATGTTCCATATTAACCAATTCGCCAATTAAAATCCATCAATTACAATACAACAAAGTAATTCGACAACACACAGTAAACGCTCAACGACTATCATTAGATTTAATATTATGTCACATATCCAGGAAACCACCGAAAGTAGGCAACAGCCTTTGCTCCCACGCAAGAATTCAAAAAGGAGACAATAAAATTTTATTTGATGCAACCATTATAATCAATTGAATATGCTTTGAACAATATTGAATACTACTGAATTTTCGGTTACGACATTTTGTCTTTTTCTGGTTAGTCGTTATTCAATAGCAAAAACAACGGCGGCGGAAATATTGAATTCGCACTAGCCGACAGTGTAATTCTAAAATGTTAATTTCCATCTGGTTTATACGCAACTGTGATGTAAAATTCTGAACCCCAGCCGTTAACATATTTTACTGTAGAATAGAAGCTGTTGCTTACAATCTTCTGACTCGTCACAGAGACAACCGATCCCACGCCTAAATGCACAAGCCAGCCAGCCAGCCAATTTGCGCTTGTACGTTTACGTAATATGTGACCGAGCACATCCCTCCGATGCTCTTTCTCGCAGATGTTGAATAGAAACAAGACAATATGGAATTTAATGTGAGTGTGACGGGATGCTTAGTGGATAGTGGGGTTCATGCATATATCATGGACGAAATTTACTCTTTCAGAACCATATTTATATTAGTATATATTAATATAGCAGATGTGACTAACACTCAAAATGACTAAGTTAAAACAAGACATTTTGTCCGTGATTGTAACATATTTAGTATCGGATAATATGAGATTAATTTACATCAAATCCGACATGGAACCAAAGAATTACGAGCGCTATTCGAAGTGTTACGTGAATAGATCAAAAAGTTCTCGTTTTACGGGCTGATAACCCATGACAACACGATACTAACCAAATAAAAGCTCAGGTTTTGATCCTCAAACCAAGCCGAATTTGGTTGGTTTTAACAGACGGCTGTTGAGAAAGTTCGTTTATCGAACCCATTGTTTTACGTGAACTACAATTCTACATATCTCTTTGAAATAACAGGACGTGACAGACGTTAGTAAAATTAATGGAAGCCTTGTAGACATAAAGCATTAACATTACGCACGGCACGGTTGAAAATTCAAAGAAACTACTTGGAAGATGATCCATGATCCATAAGGCCTTTCAAGGCAATTTTGAAAAATATGCTTAATAAAACCCCTTATAAAGATTACAATAATAAGTAAGCCTTATTCTAATTGCATTTTCCTTTCTGAGTACAAAGAAATTAAGGGAAGAGCAATTGTCCGTAATGTGCTGCTTCACGATAATGTTGCACATTATCGCTCATCTAAAAGTTATTAATGTTTTCTGTCAGCAAGAATGAGTCAAATTATTATCCCAAGCCTTGATATAGCATCATTTATCACATAAAGTAAGAAAGCACTTGCAAGAAGGAAGAATAACGGGATTACAATTCTGTTTAGGGCTGTTGTTGGTAGTACTCCACAAGAGAAATATTATAAGTCTTTTGAAAGCTGGTTACAAATCAGAAGAACCCAACTGATTATTATTATACACAGGTACTACTATGGATTTTCCTTTCCTTCCGGTAAGAATTTGATACGAAGAGTTGTCCTTACCCAACCCAGCGATGGTCAATATTTGCATTGTTATCAGCACCATCATTTGCGTCAGTTACAATTGCTGCTCTATATGTCTGGAGCTCTTCATCATATTTTCGACCGGTGAATCAATCCAACCCTAACATGATATGATTGGGAATTCGGGTTGATGTTTACGATTAATACCTGGGTTGGAATTGTGATAGATGTATTAGTATATCGTTTGCTAAATCGACTACATTCTACACTTGAAGTGAAAGTAAGTGGCCATCCAATCGGATGTGTAGTCATCTTCCTGAAAAATCTACTATCTTTGCTTGAGAATTTTATTGCTACACATAATTGGCCCCAAAATCTCGGTTCGAGACAGCAGTTGACTTCTTGATCTCTAAATTTAGCTTTGGCTATTTTCATAGTAAGTTATATTAGGTGATATATATTCAGTAATGGAGGTGCAGGAAGTATGTTGTGAAATATTCCTTCGGTGCTTATTATCTTCAACGTCTGAAAGAATTTTCTTGATCATATTCATGATCTCATCTATTAATAAATCAGACCTAGGTGGGTCATTTTTAGTGGGCTGGCGTTATTGCTATTGTCTCCAATTAATGGGATACTCATACCATCTATTACTATTACATGATGGCTACATGTTTCAGAGAAAATCCAAAGCTTATTTTTGCTTTACGCATCCATTACCTAACACTAGAACAAACGAATTTGAAAGTCTATTACTTCAGTGACATCTAAGCTTCGCCACTTTCCTTTATAGAAAATCTAAGCATTTTATTTCGACCGAAATTTTGAAGTTGTTCTTCCTATACTGATTATGACAAAGCAATACATTTCTTGGAGATAAATTGTGTCTGTGGTTGCTCCGAGAGTAAAGTGTTTTCAAAATGCCCCAACCCAAACTCCTAAAAAGAAGCCACACTAATTATAAAACTTTTATTATTGTGATAGTCATACGCCTCTCTGTCAGAAACACGTTGGGAATTGGTCGAAACAATAAAGAGACGTAAAAGATTTCTTTATAAAATGCGTACCTAATGTCCAAGGCGAAAATATATTCACACAACTTTATCGGCAAAAAGAAATCAAAAACGTAAATTTAAACTGCAAATCCAAAATTAAACTTTGCGAAGATCATATGATCATCGAATCATCCTTTTAGATTGTCGTATTCTACGCCACATTTTATTCATTTCCACACAACAAATGTCCGTCTCTCTTCCACCCTTACCGGAAGAATTAAAATCTCTAAATCCTTATCTCCAACGAGCAACCGAGCTCGAAAAACGAGAACCTGTTATCGCTTATTATTGTAAGTTGTCGCGAGAGCTCGACCGTTTGATATCAAACAAAAAAAGTCTTACTTGTTTAATAGCATTCATAATAATGTTTCGTATATGTCGTCATGACATATAGGTAGGTATTATGCCGCTAAACGTGCACTCACCAACGGAACAAAAACTGCCGAATCAAACGCTTTTCTGAATAAACTACTCGATCTACTTGAGGCAGTAAGCATTTGCTTTTCTCTATCAGGTTCCGTACGTTGTTCCGTTGACTAATTCGGTCAATGCTATTTAGGAAAAAAAATCCCTCGCTGGAAATGAAGCCGTGACTAATGATATTGCTGGGAGTGCTTATGTCGAGAATTTCGCTCTCAAGATATTCATTAATGCAGACAACGAAGATCGTCAGGGAAAAGCGTCTAGGTGAATTTATGGAGATGTGATCATTTCAAAAATAGGTTGCAAAATTACGTAGATGGTTCTAATTCGTTGCGTTATAACTAGGAAGACTGCCAAGACTTTTTTGGCTGCTGCAATATTTTTAGAAATTTTGGAGACATTTGGCAACCTTGAACCAGAGGTAAAAGAAAAAAGAAGCTCGTACTGAATTGACATCGAATCCTCCATCTAATTTCCAAATTTTGACAGACGCAGGAGAAAATCAAATACGCAAAGTGGAAAGCGGGGGATATTGCCAAAGCAATACGTGCTGGTAGAGCGCCGACACCAGGTCCACCTGGAGGTGAGAAACCGGCGTTTGCCGATCCCAGTGATGGGTTGAATGCTTCTGACGCTGCTGTCCAGCCAGCTTCGTATGCCAATAATTTTCCCTCCGCTCCTTTGACTGGAACAACGGCCTCGTTGGGTGCAGCAGATAGTGCAACACAACCGCAAACCTGGGCTTCCTTTCCCACGCCGCCTGGCCTGCATGACAGTCACCAGCGACCCCAAGGAACAACGTTTTCGTCCAATTCTTCATTGAACTTTCAGATTTCGGATTTTCCTCGACAATCAGCACCGCAAGACTCACAGCGTCAACAAGAAAATCCACAGATACAGCAACATCCTCAGGTTCCGCCCCCGCTACCGCCTAAAATCGCTGATTTTTCCATGTTTCCGGCTCCTAACGTGGATCAACTAAATCAGCAGCCACCAACATCTCAACGGACGTCGATGCAACCGCAAACGCCGGCGACTAATTACTACGATGCCCAACAATCACAGCAATCGCAACAACATCAACAACAACAACAACAACAACAACAACAACAACAACAACAACAACAACAGCAGCAGCAGCAGCAGCAGCAGCAACAACAACAACAACAACAACAACAACAGCAACAACAAAAGCAGCCGCAACAACAACAGCAACCGCAACAGCAGCAGCCACAACAACCACCACTATCACAGCAACAGCCTTATTCGCCATATAATGACTTGATCAATCTAACAGCGCCTACAACACATGCCACTTCTTTGCAACCACATCCACCATCACAACCATCTCAATTATCGCAGCCATATATTCAATCATATTCATACCAACAATCTCCCGCGTCTCAGCAGTACCAACACCAACAGCATCAACAACCACAGTCGCCTACCACGTCTGGTCCACCTCAGAACCCTGTTGAGATAGATCCACTTGTTATTGCCGAAGCTCAGAAATATGCTAAATGGGCTTCCAGTGCGTTGAATTATAACGATATTAAAGCCGCATTGAATAATCTCCGAAAGGCACAGGAATTGATAGAGCAATATAATAGATAAAGTTGGTAGACAGTTTCGAATTTACTCATTGCGACTGGTTTGAAATGCAAGAAAAATAATCGATTGTTGTATGGGCCATCGTATGAAAATTAAGGACCTGGTATTTATGGGATTTTAACACGTGCCAACAAAAACCAGAGACAAATTTCAGCGTCTTCGCAACTTAGCCGTAGAACTATAAATAATAAAATGTTTACAAACCTAACTTTGGGTTGGTGTGTTACTAGTCGTTCTAATTTGTTAACCTATGTTATGCTGGAATCGGATTAGTATTAATAAATATAGAGTTCATATCCACTACGATGGTTCTCGAAAACATAATTAAAAGCACCAGAGTGATTACACGAAAGGAGGAAAATGCGCGAATTCCGATTATGTCAATCTGGTGCAAGTTTGAATTCTTTGCTATACTATTATTAATAATGTAGTCACTATCTTCTATTTTCTATTTTCATTATTTCTTCATTGAGTTGACATAATTTTCCCTGAACTCGTTGTATTATGGCAACTAAAACGGCAAGTAGTTTCTGAAGTTCAACCGCCCATTTTGTTAACGAAAATTTTTCGTTGTATTAGCGTCTCAACATTGGGTGTTCATCGTGCCAATGGATCAGAAGTAAAAGTCAATTAATATTACAAAGAAGAATATGTAAAGCCTATGGGTAACATGCTTATGATATAAGGATTGACTCAACTAAAAAGACTCCTTTTGCATAGCAGACAAGAAATGAAGCTGACACAGCTTCAAGTACATATTAATATATGAGGATTAGCAGTAGATGTGATAAACTTATATGTTGGAAGGTCTGTCATTGACATCTGATGGTCAAACACCGTTGAATACAATGGGTTGCTATTATATTATTGTTATTGCCCAAGAACATGGTCACCCAATTCATAGTAATAGTAAGGAATTCAATCAAAACTCCTTAATGGGTTGCCTGCTCATGATTATGATATTTACATGATGCGAAAGTGGTTGAATATGAAGAGATCTGGAGATGTAATCCACATGCAATTGATTTTATGAGAGAGTTAGTTGAGTGTTATGGGAAGAATAGTCTTGAATTTGTATTAATATTGAATTGTAGGCTTCTTACTGCACCAACAAGGAGAAATTAAGGAAAAGGATGTAAAATTAAATAGTGCATCAAAGAATAAAATGAGTCATAAAATACGAAAGAGAGCATGCATGATATAAAAGATGTCACTCATATATCAGTAAGTTTCTGTATCTTCTTCTCTGTATGATTTGTCAATAAAACCAGGCATTTTACAACTCGAGAAAATGTTTTTTTAAACTTGCCTTATCCTTATATAAAGTAATAAAAGTTGCAGTTGACTGAAATATTTTTATTCATTATCAGTGTAGGTTGGTCTTGGACAAGTAAAATCCTTGAATTCGTCTCTAACAAATGGGCGGATATTATGATAAAGATATTCTTGTCTTTTGTAATCCAAAGGAGGAGGAGTTAGGGAAATAGTTTACAAAATTAGGATGGAAAAGATTTAATTTCTTTGGTAATTTCAGACACACTTGCTTTTCTAGTCTTTAACAGATTAAATTCAGTATACGAATCATTAGCAACCAGCTGAGCTTTGACAATACCGGGTTTGGCTGTTTCGAATACAAAATGCTGATTTAGCTTTTAAAAAAAAATCCCCGACACAGAGTTAAGATCTAAGTACTGAAAACCTTTTCCGTTGCCATAACATTGAGCTTTGTTTAATCTTGCTGTACTCGATTTTTTCACAACCTCAATAATATGATTCACACAATCTACGGTCGTTTTTCGAGAAAGCTTTTTAATCAATCCAAAACTGCCATCACACTTGAATTTAGTATGTCCCCGGTACCATAAAATTTAATTCGATACTTTCATAATAACCGCAAATTACCAAATACAAGTAAAATCAAATAGTGGCTTTATTTTTGTTCTGTCCACCCGCGTTGTTACAAGTAATCTTTAAATGTTTCTCATCTTTATTCAATCGTTTAATTCCATCAAATACCAGGCTCAGCGTACCGTTAGGGCCCTACCGATAATTTCGTTTTCATCAAGAACGTGATTAATTCGCTTCATCTTGGATACCAAATAAATGTCTTTACGCGGACTGAGATAATAAATTTTGCTTACCTGTTGATCGGAATAAGGCACGTGAACGTTTTGCGCTCAATCGTAACTGTAATACAATAAGCTTTTGCCTGTTGTTATAAAATGCTCGTCTACCAATTTTCTCTATTGTTTTGCTAACTTCGTATTTTTTGTGGTAATAATTTCTCTCTGATTTAGCCGTAACTAAATGTTCTTTGTACTTTTTTAATAAATCTTTCGCTTCTTCCTTGCGAGCATTATACTGTAAGCCCATTCCGAAAATGTTGGAACGTGTCGCATAAATCTGTTCTTGGACTCATGATTTGAATATAAAGCGTTAATTGGTGTCATAACTTGCGAAACGCATCATACTTTAACAATTTCAACGTGCTATCGTTTTCGAGGCCTGCAATAAAATTGCGATAGACTGATTTGTAACTCGTTTCGGCTGCAATAATGTAAGCGATTGAGTAATGCGATTGACATTTCTACCAGGACTTGGTAATCCATGAATTTCAGCATAGTTTCCGAGAAAATTCTTCACGGCAGTAGTAGTAGCAACGTTTATATCAATGGTTATTTTGGTTTTCCATCGTGGCGCTCGTTTGGTATTACCATAAACGCGCGGTATTATACCATTCCGCCAAGTAATTTCTAACGTTTTCGAAGTGCGTGCGACCAATTTCTAACATACTGAGATACGTTTTCTGACAAAGCGGCGTATTGCGCGATCTCAATAATAAAAGTTCTTTTATTAGCACGCGTTTTATTTTCAAGACGTCGACTAGCCGTTATTTCTCCACCGTTCATTGCTTTCAGCTGGGCCATTAGAAATAGGTCTTGTTCGGATCTAGAGAAAGCTTGAAACGCCTCACGTAATTCGGCAAATTTTTCTCTCGAAATCGTTTTTGAGCAGCCACAATTGCAACCTACCTCCAAGAAAACGGATTGCTTTTTTATATTCACTATTTTTCATATACAGGTTATCCTATATAAATTTTATCACTTTGTTTTTTTTACAATGATTTATTTTCTTTTCAGTCTTTCCATGTTACATTGCCCAGCATTTACCTTTTTTGCCAAGATAACTCTGGATAATAAATCAGGTGATATGCAGTACGCTTCCTAACAACACATCTAATACATCTAATCCCCAGAACTTTCACAGTCGACATGTTCCAGACCAACTGCGACTATACCAATGATTACAAGTCTCGCATTATATATCTTAATCAACTTTATAAATAGCGATTCGTTCAGTTATTATTTTAAACAGTAAAAGGCGATTATCCTCTCGTTCATGCATAAGTTTGCATGTGACAGTGTAATTTCAGCCCGAAAATGCTTTTCCAACCACTTCTTTACTGTTTTTATTTCTTCTTGTGGCAACTGAAAGTTCAAAAACATATTCCCATATTAATAGCTGGAGTTTATTTTTAATGAAATCACAAATTTAAATCAATAAACCTTACCTCTCTTTATTGTAAGTGGCTTTTTAATTGGGCTCCCAATATCCGCTATCGTTGGATGATCATCTATGAAAGATATACCAGATTTCAAGTGTCGAACTTCCTTGGCCCTTTTAATCAGAGCCTGGGCGACTTTCACAGAATATTCATAATGTTCTACAAAGATATTTGAGAATAAATCTTAGTAAATGTACCTTAATCCGTAGAAAAAGCTCCACAGACTCTACCATAGATGGTAATGTAGTAAGGCTGTTAGGCAATCGAGAACAGCCCAACTCTGATAATGCAAATAGGTTTCATAGACATTATAGACCAGATGCGCTCGAATGGTCATGCCTGTGAGAGTAATTCCAATATATGTGTTGTACAGTATGTCAGATCGGAATTTATGTCAGATCAGAATTTTATGTCGCTTCCAAACTGACATACGACAATATATTATTCACTCGATAAAATAAAGTCACTTTAAGATAAAATCACTCTAAGATAAAGAATTTTCCCGCTCAAATTTTTAATAAGCGATATAAAATTCTGATCTGACATATATCACTTCGGAATTGACCTAAATTCCGATCTGACATACAACATATGTGACTTCCCCTATTGTTTGTATTACTATGGATATTGTACCCCCCAGTTCATGCAGTTTCATCTGACCCCTTAAAAAAGACCACGCATTGTGTTACGTGCGGAGTTCTGGACTGTCTGAGTTCTGGACTAAGTCTGAATTCTGAACTGAGATAGGTTCCAAAAAACGCACAAATCAGCATTATTATAATAATAGGTTTCCAAATTACTATCTACAATCAAAAATTTTCTACAATGTGTTTTCGGTCTTTCGAGAAGAATGCGACAATTCCCAATATGTAATATAGTTATTTAGAAAACTCTTAGGCTCACGCCAAGAGAACGAACTGCTTGTGCCAACATTTTTTAATGCCTTGGCACGTTTACAGAGTTTGTATTACAGTTTTCACTGACTGCATACACTCACTGGACAAAAGTCTCCGTAATTTTTGTCGTAAAACATATGAAAAATCTATTTTTTCGAAGAGCTCTATTGTACGTATCTACTATGTAAGTCACAACGATTTTTGTACCGTTTTGAAGATAATTGATTGTACTTTTCGTGAAAAATGGTGATATGTTTAGTCCCGTTACTGTTCCGAAGCTGCAGTTCGATAAAGAGGCAGTATCCATGTTACACATATGACAATCTACGAAATTTATTAGTGTAACATCGATACTGTCTCTTTATCTTTTACTATGTGATCGACAAAAATTACGGTGACTTTTGTCCAGTGAGTGTATATGCATAAAAATAGAAAAGCATGCAGATAAACTAGATTGAAAAAGAAAAACAGACCCAACTCTTCATCGATTCGCTGCCAAGAGATATGTTGTTACCAATTTTGACAACTAGACTTTCCTTAAAACCAAGTCTTAAACGCTCGTGAGAAGACAAAGCACATTTTTTTGGAATTATTTTTTTTAATTGGTTGTTTAATTGTGCGTTTCAAAAAAGCTATGTTTGTCAACCTGATATGGGATAGACTAAAGCTGGAGCAATTTCATTGGTTGAATACAGATTTGACTGCAAAAAATCAAGTCACGCCCTGCTACTGTATTAGCCATCCACCCGATTAGGCAAATGTCAAATAAGTGTTGCTAATCCCCTGAATACAAGTGGTCCAACTTTATCATGCCACTACCATTAAAAATTTAATCTATTCAGTCGAATAATATATATAGAGGGAGCGAAACAATTGAGTCGTAACTGTTGCTAGTTATGTTATAATCGTATGGGTAGGCCATTCGCCTTCAAACAATCCCAAATTCTTTATGGTTAAACTTTGACACAGAACTTATTCTTGTTAAATTTATTCCCGACATTTCATATGTATAATCTAATCTTAAAAATTGGGTAAGACATAACAATTGACGTTTGTTATCATAATTTTGCATAATGTGTTATTATCCGTATCGATGCTGTAATCATTAATGTAAAAAAGAATTCAACCAACTATCCACCCCATCGTTGTCTTTCCCGTATCTGCATCATTACCAATAAGGAAAGCTTTTCTTATGCAACCAGACCAGTTACCGACGAACGCAACGCAACGCATGCGTGGTAAACCCTGGACTCGAATATGACACCAAGATTTTTTCAAAGGTGAAAATATCTTCAAATACTCCCAAGGCTTTTCGTTTTCGTTGTTCTCCCAATTGTCACTAACCACACCACCAATTATAGCGATGCGATCTCTTAAGCAAAACATTGCAGTACCAACCCGTCGACCGGGACTTTGTTTCCATCCGCCGGTGAATATCCATTCAGGTGGAAGTCTTAATGGTTGTACAGTCGAAGAGAGATATCTTAACCATTTACTATTTTGTATGTCATATGCCCATACGTTAGTATCGTCATGTATTACCTCTCTTTTTTTTGAAACCATCTGCTGGCCTCCGTAGATGTAAAGTTTATCACGGGCTTTTAACATGCAATGTAATGATCTTGCATATGGAAGATTGGGCATTTGATTGTGAATCGTCCAGACTTTATTTGTAATGTCGTACGTCGCAAAGTCTTTACTATCATACGGACAATCTGTAACGTTAATAAAGTTATGTTAATGTTTTTTGTTTTTGAATCGGATTTGTCGAAAAATCACTGTCTTTCGTAATACCATCAGCCACGCATAGACCGCCATAGATCGCTAAACGGTTATGATCAATCGCGCTGATCGTATGCATCGAACGAGGGGAAGGAATCGTTCCGTTCTGCGTTAGGATATGCAACTGCATGTCACAGACGTCAAACTCATACAAAATGTTTGTTGGTTTTCCAGTAAGCAGATCTATGCCACCATGGACATATATTTTGTTCAGAATCGACGACGTTGCCGGATGTATGACAGGTCGATATGAATCGGGCATGTTCACAGTAACGCTGATCCATCTGGGGGTTTTGTCATTCAGATTTATCTTCCAAGCTGTTGGATTTTCGATGGAAAGAACGAGTATGTATAGTGTTGGACCAATCAAAACGGCGTCACGATAGTACAGTCCGACTCTGTCGTCAGGAACATTATATGATAAGCCATGCCACTTTGGGAGGATTAAACCATACTGTTTGAAACTGACGATTCGATAAAGTGCGTTGCATGTGAGGGATAATGTAATCAGATCTGATGTATCCAAGTAATCGAGAATAATTTCGATTAACTCTGTCGATATTGATAGAAGGTTAACCATAAATGAATTGCGAGAAAAAAAAAGAGGGTCTAATGATTACTTTTATTATTTTTTAATTGGTAGATAAGTAAATTAGAAAATAGCGAATTTTTGAAGCTTGAAGTTTATGGTCATTACTTGCTTTGCTTAGAGGAATAGTGCTTATGTGATCAATGTGGGTGAAGGAAAAAAAGTAACAGTATTTATATAACATTGTCCACAAGATCATTTTAGCATTAGTTGTTCTCTTATCAAATATATTACGCGCCACCAAGAGATAAATTGCGATTCTTTTTCCCCCAATCATGTGTGTCTGTGAACCGGATAAACATGTTAAAGGCAATGGCAAACGGTCGTAACTTGATAGGCAATTATTACCTTACTTTTAATAAGGTTTATCCAATTGCGGTGTCACTGTAATACGTTATAAACATTAGAAGAATCAAGGAAGAATATTTTACAAAAACCAAGAAACATACTGTAAACCGTGGTTTTGAGTTGAAGCTATATAAGCCATGAATTTCAATTTCAAAACGCTGTCTACGTTAGAAAAGTCTTGAGGTTCTTTTGACTGACTAAATTTTCCCACACATAATACTCGGTTTAGAGAGTACTTCTCAATATAATTAACAGTATTCAAGCTCATAATTCAATAAGGCATGTTAAATGAACGGAATTCATGTAAAAACCAAAGTTCTATAAAAGTCTAATACTAAGTAGCATTACTAATTCAATTTAGCCAATTAAATATAAGGTCTTTGTTGACAACTACATAATTTAGCCAATTACGCAATTGAAGATACGCACATTTCACAAACAAACAGAAACAATCATTACTATTACTATTCAGTAAATATAGTTAAAGAAATGTCAATACTAAATAAAGTGACTAATCGGGGTAACCAATCAAAATATTTCCACATCTTATTTGACTAATTTTGGAACGAGACGCTTTAGTCAATTTACTGTCGTACATGTAATTGCGTTACAATCTGTCGAAGAAAGCTCAAACGAGTTGATGGAATGCTTGATAGTACAAATGTGGACTTCGATTTCTTATCTTATTGTCTCGCATACCCTTTATAGTTAACGGCAACAATAGCATTGTTGTTATCACGCCAAGAACCGTTACTATTACGCCATTGGGGGAAAAAAAGGAGAGCTAAATTTCTCTTGGATGGATCAAAGGTGAAATACTATTGGTTATTTTGTTGGTTACAGAGTCCAACATTGGAAAATATGGATGTATGTTGCAAATAACGCAATAGAATATCGGGGATTCCGAAAATGAGTATCGACAATTATTCGGTTAAAATTTTGGAATGCGCAACAGGTCTCGTTATTTTGAATACCGTATCAGAAAATACTCCAATTGGGTAAGAAAATTCGTGGAGAAAATAATTAGCGCAAAAATAAACAATCGGTCATCTGATGTGACAAAACTTTGTACTGCCTTGATCTCAGTCTTGTTAACTAAAATAAAATAAAATTGGTGAATCAAACAATAATTGGGCAATCATGGCGCAGTTTCTCTAACACAGTATAACACTTTACTTTTTTGGTGTCTTTTAATGTCATTGTTAAAGACTAAACCGTATGATGATACTGTCACATATCAACCGTTTGTATAACTTAAAAAAAAAGGCTATCTGTCTGCTGTGTCTGAATTTGGAGCCATCATGACAATCCTTGTCATGTCATCGTGTATATACATAATGAAAGATTGTTTATCGGGTAGGTTACGTAAGTTTTTATTAAAACAAACAGGCTTTTTGACTTTCTAACATACAATTATTTACTCCCATTTAAACTAACTTTCTTGGTAAAATTATATAATAAAACAATAATTGGTGAGCACAATGGTACAGGCAAACTATCCGATGTTTATGCTAAGCACATCAATTTCTTGTGTTACATGCTATCTCACGTTAACATTGTTGTATGTCAAATCGGAATTTATGTCAATTCCGAAGTAACATATTAATATGTCAGATTAGAATTTATGTCAACCCCGAAGTGACATGTGTCAGATGAGAATAATAGAAAATTAGCAATAATAAATATGACAATGTTTTATTGAATAATTCTGATCTGACACATATGTTACTTCGGAATTGACATAAATTCCGATCTGACATACAACAGTCCCGTATGGGTTAAAGTTGGAAATACTGTTCGGATGCAGATATTGTTCTAACGTCGGGATTTGTAATTTTCAAAAAAAAAAACGTAGAAATTTGGTACCGCGTTTACTGGTATGCGATATTTGTGATATGCTATGTAAAGTAAAGATGAATGGAAAATTGTACTGGTTAAAGTATCTGAGACTTTTTAACCTTCCAATATGAGAGTGGCTTTATTTTCTACGCATAACTTTTTCAAAGTTTATCAATCGCCCAGTAAAAACCCGAGACATATTTAAGGCACGCGGACTCTGCTGATAATCCTCGTTGAAAAACTCAACACGACGCCACAGAATAGGAGCACCGCAGCGATACCAAAGGTGGTTAACAAATAAAGCAGGATAGAGGGATCGATCAATTTCTAAAAAACATAAGATCGGTTTTAGTAATCCTGGTAAATCAAAAATATCTAGTTGACGCCATTCTCAAGAATGTATATTATATATCTTTAATCGGAAAAAACAGACACAAAATGTTCTGCTTCGCAGACTAATGTTCGGGATAATTAATTTTAAGGCGCATATACTATGGAATTTCCAGATATTCTCAATTGCACATAACCTCCTCGCAACTAGTTTTATCTAGCAATGTAAGAGTTTTATTTGGGAAGTCCACTTTTATTGCATCTTCCTGGAACCATGGCTGACCCAATATTATGTCCGGATATACGTGTTGTGTCTGAGTTCAGGACCTGTCTCAGTTCAGAACGCAGTCACTCAGTCCAGAACTCTGTTGTCTCAGTCCAGAACCCAGATACTCAGTCCAGAACTCAGTTGTCTCAGTTCAGAACTGAGACAGGTTTCCAACTGAGGTACAACAGTAATAAAGCTGTCGAGGAAATAGCCCGCAACTGTGATAATTTGAAATATCTTAGTTTGGAGGAATATAAGGAATTAGCAAAGAAGTGATGAAAACCTTCAATCCAAAAATTAAAATCGAATATCTAGATGATTTACATACTCCAATCCCCACCAGCATAATAATTGGAACGGATTTTATTCCTGCATTTATATTTAGAAAATATATAGAGATTAGCAGAATTAATCCTAATGATTTATCGTTATAAATAATTATATTTAGTAATTGTTATTTTTTTTTTCGGTTATAATATATATCACTAACATGTTCGTAAATACCCTTGTCGGGAAAAATTCCAGTAAAAGCATTAATTAATACATCGTCGAAGTTTAATACCATTAGCAAGAGCTTGTTCGATAAGCTTAAAGAAGATTATGGAATACCTGATCCTGCTGAAAATCTCTATAGTGACATAAAATGCTTATATTTGCAATTTTGTTATAAAGGAAAGTGGCGAAGCTTAGAGCACGATTTCACTGAAGTAATAGACTTTTAAATTCGCAAAAATCCATCGTTTGATCTAATGTTAGGACAAGATTGGTTATGGATGCGTAAAGCAAAAATAGATTTTCTTCCGAAACATGTAGCCATGATAATAGATGATATTAATTGGAGACAATAGCAATAATAATAACGCCAGCCCCACTAAAAATGACTTACCTAGATCCGATTTATTAATATATGAGATCATGAATATGATTAAGAAAATTTTTTCAGATATTGAAGATAATAAGCACCGAAAGAGTCATCACGGAATATTTTACAACATACCTCCTGCACCTCCATTACCCAGAAAATTGGATAATGATTTCGGTAAAGAAATTAAAAGAGCAACCCGAAATCTGAAAAATACAATTCACACGCTTCATAGATGTAAGTTTGAATCTAGTAAATTATTGTTTTTTCAATCGAATATTATATCAGATAATATAACTTACCATAAAAATAGCCAAAGCTAAATTTAGAGAACTGCTGTCTCGAACCGAGATTTTTGGGGCCAATTATGTGTAGCAATAAAATTCTCAAGCAAAGAAAGTAGATTTTTCAGGGAGATGACTACACATCCGATTGGATGGACCGTGATTCCACTTACTTTTATTTCAAGTGTAGAATGTAGTCGATTTAGCAAACGATATACATCTATCACAATTCCAACCCAGGTATTAATCGTAAACATCAACCCGAAAAATCTACTATCTTTATCTTCAGACCTTATTCGTCTAGTAATTTCCCACCAACATGCTACGTATATATCTTTCGCTGTCATGGATTTTGGAAAGCGTTTTTGTCATAAAATTTAGGGAACATTTATTATATGGCTATCTGTGCGTCATTGATTTCAAGAACGCTATATCCATAATTAACTATGACTGTAAATGCGTCATTAAAATTAAATTTGAGAAACGCTTAACTAGCGTTAATTCTTCGTCAGTCTTGGAAGATTTTATTATGTGGCTCGCTTATCTATGTCATCAAATTCGGTTTGCCGTAACATATTCAATCGTATACGGTATCCGTGTAGAAAGTGTTCAACAATCGGTTACTCTCACGTGGATGTCAAATTTCGAAAGAGACGCAACAATGCGACATTGAGGTAAATTTGTCATGATTTATCCCTTCTAACGTAAGATCTAAGTAAAAGGTTCAACATAATGTTTAGCTTGATTGGTGGTTATTATCATATTGTAAACAGTTATACCGGCGCGCGGGAAAGTTACCGATAGATCACTTTGGCTTATTATTATGTAATCTATAATTTATTAACAAATACGAATTCATCCAGAACAAGATCATGCAATCACCAACACAAACATCGACAGCCATATGATTATGGTACTTCTCTATCTCTTATTGTCCGTTCAAAATACATTCTGTTCCAGAAAGTAATTCTAGTCTGTCATGGGAGCTGGTGTTACAGTACCTATGAGCAAAGAAATCGAATGGCGGTCACCTGCTAAATGAATCTTAAGTCAGAATACGCAGCTTCGACCGCGATTTTGTCTTCCATATCTGGACTTTGCGCAAATACGAAAAGTTCCTGTCGTTTCATTTAGTCAATTTTGAATGAATCATTTTCTCCGGAATTTATTTTATTGGTAAACTTAAACTGTTCTTTGTCTAAACAGATCTCCAACTCCGTCATTTTGCGGATGCAGGTTACACCAAATTGTACCAGCCGAAGTGATGCTAATTACCAAATTTGACACATTTATCATTTCCAGATTGAGAAGCGCAGCTGGCAAAAACTGTTTGACAAAAGGCTTTTGTGAGACAAAGGCAGTGCACATGGTCTAACGTGGCGCGTGCTCACTATGCTGAAATGACATCATATTAACAAATGCTTGCTTATTGTCAATTACCCCAGTTAGATTCGTGAAGTTTGATATAAAAATTGAACGAAAATCAATATCTCGCTTTCCAAAATTTTAAGTATGGATATGCATTCGATTTGGTTTTCGTGTATATGTATATTATTGCAATTAACAGCTGTCCTATCAATGGGTGGAGGAGGTGGCGGCGGTGGCGGAGGAGGTGGAGGAGGAGGTGGAGGAGGAGGTGGAGGAGATGGCTCTGATGATGGATATAGTGTAAAGATAACTGGAGTAGGGGAGGTCTTTTGCATCATAGGAATGTGCTTGATAGCTATAGGGATAACTATTTGTGCATGTTGTGGGGACCGCATTATAGAGTCTTGCAAGAAGAAACGCGAAACCACTTCAATGCCATGCCCACCACATTCCGATCTCGAATCTGGTAATCTACCTCCTTCATATGGTACTCAGCCACCCGCACCTGAGCCCGTCCATGTGCGCGGAAAGAAGCATGAGGCGACGACTGACTCGTATAAAGCAGGGAATCGTTATACCCAACAACATCCGCCTCAGTTGAAGCTATCGTCAGAGGATGCCATAAGCGGTCGAGGTGGTGCATCGACGTATCAAATCGTTCCCGAGCCATCGATTTCTGAGCGTCAGTTGGCTGTCGTATCAGAAAACGGACGTGTGGTACAGTTTAACAAATCAAGGGGCACGATGGTGAGTACTATGGTACAAGCAAACTATCCGATGTTTGTTCCATCAGATGCAGTTGACGTAAATGGAGACGAATGTGTCGAGGATAATAAATTAATACGAGAGTCTCCGGTGAGTACTAAGTTCTCGTGTATGTTTGCATGCTATCCATATCTTCTGTTAATGTTAACATTTTAATTTAGCAAATTAAAACCGAGGAAGGAGATCCTGTGCCCATATTAGTTGACGATCAGACGCCTGACGAATCAAAAGAATTGCATTACTTTGAGGTTACTGTTCTGTCAAACCCAAAGCCTAAAGACACTACTATAGCAATAGGTCTCGCCACAAAGCCTTATCCACCATTTAGGTACATAATTACAAAATCTGATCTAGTCCACTCATTTTTGCAAACTAAATTTTTGACTCATCCTTTTACCTTCCTCAATGCTAGGCTTCCGGGTTGGAACCTTTACTCGGTTGGATACCACTCCGATGACGGCCGTAAATTTAATGATGCGTATGGGGGCCGCGACTACGGTCCCGAGTGGGGTAAAGTTGGAGACACTGTCGGATGTGGTTATTATCCTAACACCGGATTTGTATTTTTCACTAAAAACGGGGAGAATATTGGTTACGCGTTCACTGGTATGCGATATTTGTGGTATCCTACAGTCGGAGCTCATGGGCCATGTAAAGTAAAGATAAATTTCGGAGACGACGAGCCATTCAGATATTGCGAAGCGAGAGGATTTGGACCGTCGGGGAAGGAACGTAGCAAAGAATGCTGATTGAAACTATAGTATTATTCCGTTTGTATAGATAGACTTTGGCGTTTAATATTCAATTTGTCTATAGATAACACCACATTATACGTTAAACTACGATTACATCTGCACGAAAAACCATGTTACTTACATTATCTTAGATTACAGTATATAAATAAACTATGGTATGCATATATTATTACTATCAAAATTCTTTTCAGGGTGGGAGGTTGATTCAACAAATATTTGACTTTTAAGGTTAAGATTAGCAACATTCGTCATATTCAGCATTCAACCCGGAAAAAATTTCTCTTTCAAAACGCCACTCCCCATGTTCTAAAATAAAAACAATTCGAGTTATAATTAGAGTTTTACCACGGGTCGGGACACAGCATCAGATATAGTAAAAGTGAATTTAGGGGTTTATACCGACTGTGTAACTGGTAATAAGTTAATTTAAAAATCTTCCCTATGATTATGACAGTGTGATCTGGCACTTTGTTAACTTGTATCTGATCAGGCCAATTGTACTTGCCAGTTTTAGGAAAGATCCACCCTTGATTTCCCCTGTTGGGTCCCCCGAATTTTGCTGGAAACCAATTACCTTTTTTGTTGATTCTATCCTGTTTGTTTATATTAATATTACCTCCCCTGTTTACCACAGTTTACTTCCGAAATAAACACAACAGCGATGCCCGCAAAGAATCAGGCAGCTGTAAACCGGAGATCACCTCGCGGAGGTAAACGGAGAACACAGGAACAGACTAATGGTTACGGAAGCAGCGCTGATGAGACACGTAAATACGTTGCTTATCTAAGAGAAAGACCATATGATTCAGATCCCTTTGAGGACTTTGACTTCTCGAGAGAGGAGGCGTATTTTAGAGAACTAATCGGAGAGGAAGATTCGCTGTCTAGTCAAACTCCTACGATCGCAGAATTACCGCACGAGAACACTTTTTTGTCGAATGGTGATAACGAATCCGTATTACTATCACGAGATGTCACTCCCGAGCCGACGCAGCAGCAGCTATCGAGTGAGAAAAACAAACAGCAGCGTGTGGGGAAGTTGCTATTTGCGGCCAGTGGATGGTTGACGATTCCCCTGGCTTATATACTCTCTGCAATTGGTTTCTGTCTGTTTGCATCGAGATGGTTAGCCGGAAGAACGTATGAATTCATACTAAACAATATAACAGGTAATGGACGTTTCTATGAAATGTTTAGCTCGACTCCAACCACATCAACCACTACCATCACAACAACCACGCCAACGTCAATAAAAGCCTTGCCTTCAATAGCCGTAGCAGAACAATCAACATCAGCAGCCTTAACACCGACATCACCGTCGTCAGCATTAGTAGTAACATCAGGAAAAATTGTACAGCAAAATGGCACCCGAAACAGTTACAGATTTGGTCTCTCATTGTTAGCAATATTGGGAATACTGCTTGCCATATCCTATTTACCGTTCAAAAATAAAGAAATGAGTATAGGAGATTTTATGCGTTCTATTCCATTTAAACCACACTTCTGGTCGGACAATTCAGAACGCAAGTTTGTTATCCCAGTTACTCTAAATGGTAGTGATGGTGAGGGAGGTGCGCTTGATGGTGCTGTCGATCCCAGTCAACGGGAAGACCTCGTTCTTACGTACGACGATCTGCGACTATTTATTGCCGATGAGGTAAGAGCATCTTGTATGAACGGCGATAATTCAGCCAAGACGATCGGTCAATCGGTTGATCCTCGTACCGCTGAGTTACGTGGGATTATATCAGATGAAGTAAAGTCATTTTGTACAAGCGAAGTCAAAGACAGAGTGAAGAATGAGGTCAAAGCAGAAGTCAAGGAAGTCGTCGAAAAGGAAATAACGCATGCCAAGAAACTTCGAGCTACTTACAAGGGAACAGATTTAGTCGACATAATAAGACAAGAATCACAAAAAGTCATTGAGGAGGCGCTGCTGGTATTCTCACAGGATAAATTGAATAGACCTGATTTTGCGTTGCATTCTGCCGGAGCTAAAGTAATTAGCAGAATCACAAGCAAGACATATGAAGTATGGCCCGAGAAGTGGTTTGCAAAGTTATTTGCCTATATGTCAGGGCAGGGCATACTCAGAGGTAAACCGCCAGTAACTGCACTATCACCAGACACAAACGTTGGTCAATGCTGGCCGTTCCCAGGGCGAGAGGGTCAGTTGGCAGTCCTGCTAAGCAGAAAAGTGTATGTTACTGCTGTTACGTATGACCACGTGAGTAAACATATTGGAGTTGATGTAACGAGTGCGCCCAGAGACTTTGAAGTATGGGGAATAGTTAATGATGGAAAGTACGGAAGAGATGAGCGAGTACCGGATGAAGATGATGAAGAGGACATATTTATGGAGTCGAAGGACGAAGAATGCGGAGTGCGTGAAGATGGGGAGTATGTTCCTTATAAAAATTCAATTAATAACAACGTACCTGAACCTACCAAATGGAGTGATCTTGATCCGACCATAGAGAATCTTGCGTCTAGTGAGTTACGCCTGGGTACATCTACATTGCATCTGTTTTTGGGTCGATACACATATGATATTCATGGAAATCCCGTACAGACATTCGAAGTACCCGAGAGCATTAAGCAACGCAATAAGCCAGTCACTGCTGTTGTTATGAAAGTGCTTAATAATTGGAGCAAGGATACATTCACTTGTTTGTACAGATTTCGCGTTCATGGCGATCCAGTGGATAGGATTAATGAATAAAAAATTTATTCTTGTGTTGTTGATGTTGCTGTTGTTGGAGGGTGGAATGTCGAGGCGTATGATTTCGCATAAATGATTGCATCAAGAAGAGGATTCGATATCGAAAGATCGATTAGGTGTGTGAATTTTGAGTGTTTGTGGGAATGAGGAAACGAGATTGTGTATAAATGACCTGTTAGACCAACCGCTTTCTGTTTATACTTTATAGCTTTATTTTACTTTTTGAATTTCATTGTTTTCTCCTTTGGCAATACATGTGTCTATAGCATACCGATACAGATTACACCACTTTTGAAATGAGCATAAAAAAAGAAATAAATTTAGATATACAGAAAAATTTCATGTGTACAATGTAATAATGTTTGGTCCTTATCGCTAAGAAGCATTCGCACGCTAATGAATGAAAATTCACACGAGCCTTCCTGACAACAGAGCTCTTTATTGTTTACAAGTCTCATTATTACGTGTTGTTGTTTCAAGATATTTTTGTCCTAATAAATTTCCATAAGTAACTCATTGTATCTTTCGTTGGTAAGTGCATTAATTAAACACTATTAGATGTCAAAAAATTCCCAACGCTGTTGCGCCAAAAAAATAACTTTCGCGATAACGTAATTGTTGTATAATATTTTCTATATCGTAGTGTATGAAGAGAACAAAATATTTGAAAAATTCGTCATGAGTGGTTTAAGCGAACATCCAAGCAAAATAAAAAAGCTAAATTGTAAACGAAAGCTCCGTCATTTTCACGTAAATTCCAAATGCGAGATATAATGTACTAACCCCGATTGCTTTCACAAAGTTCTCACACTCAACACCGGAATCTGTCACTTTCAGTTTTGTGCATGTCATTGTTGGAACAATACAAGCATGAGTATATGTGAAGAGACGATTGCTAATATTAACAATGGTCAAAACTAATAAAAAAAAAAAGATTATTCCCACTCTTACTCTATACAATTGATTTAAAGATGGCCTATTTCCAAAGAATATTTGTCAAGAGAATGGCAGACCATAAAATTGAAGCCACTACAGTTGATGACAGTTCGCCGGATACAGCTTGTGATTCAGACACTTCGTTCCTCAAGACATTAGGCCCTCCCTTATCATCCGACACTTCCATCCCCGAATCAATATCTTCTGATAGTTCTATCCCAAAATCATTCGTATCTGATTTGGAGAAATTGAATCTTGCTCAAGAACGTTTGGAACGCTATGTCGACGAAGTAGACGATTCTCCTGACACGAGTTTGAAAACCAATGCTGCAAATTTACGTGCCGTCAACGAATCTTACCGCTCAGATCCTGAATCTCTTAAAGCCAGAGCAACCAAATTACGAGAAGATGCCATAAACAAAACATTGGATAGTATTAGGAGGTCAATGAATGTTGATCTTTGCTTTGTCTTAGATTGCACGGGATCTATGGCGAGTTATATCGCCGCTGCTAAAGATAGCATCTTACGAATAGCCGAGTGCGCAAAGCAGGCGAATCAAAACATTGCCGTCTGGGTCGGATTTGTTGGTTATCGTGATCATTGTGATGGCTCCAATCGTTTGCAAGTATTTGATTTCACCGAATCGTACGAAAGCTTTAGATCATATCTATCCAGCGTGCAAGCGACCGGTGGCGGCGATGCACCAGAAGACGTTTTGGGCGGTCTGAACGCAGCCGTGACGCGAATGACTTGGCGCAAGGGTACGCGCATTATTTTCCATATCGGAGATTGTCCGCCGCATGGCCGTCGTTATGGGGACCATGGGGATTCTCATCCGAACGGTGATCCGTTCGGCTTGACGGCGGAAAGTGTATTAGGAAAAATGCAAGAGGAAGGCATATTTTACTCGTTCGGAAAAATTACGTATATGACCGATAAAATGATTGAAATATTTCAGGGTATACTTGGCCAATTTCAAGTGTTTGATCTCTCTTCTGGAAATTCAATCTCGTTAATCGACAAGCTTTCCAAGGCATCTTGTTCTATTATTACCACTTCCGTTTCATTGACTAGCACTCTCGGAAAGACCATGGATATAAACGCCTACTGGAAAAATCGTGGCATACATGCAACAGAACCTAATTGGGTTAATGCCTTTCCGCACACCGGAGTACTTGTAGGGTATCCCGTTCCCAAGACCGTGGACGATCTGAAGAATAACAACTACTTTCGCAAGGCAAACATCGTTACCGGAAACGTTTCGTTCAAGATTTCAGAGAAGCCGTTTTCTGTTGGAGCGGAAAGATACGCATATTATGGCCTTGATGTCACACGCGAACCATCTCAGAAAAAGGTGATAAAAGAATACCTTAGCATCAGAGAAAATACCAATCCAATGGAAAGATATCTCGAGGCGGTAGAGATATCTGCTGTCGCGTCTTATCTTGCCACGGCATTTAATAAGGCTGCATCACCCTTTGGTGTTAAAAAAGTAAGATTTCTCGAAGCGAAGGTGTTGTACGATGTTGTAGATTCTTCCAATATTCGGCACTATACGATAGAACCGAGACTTGATGGAGAATTCAAGCGATTCAATGTAAACAGTGGTGTAATTGTAGATTTTCGTCCCTGTCTCGAAGCATTTGCCCATTTCACATATGAACATACGAAAAAATATTTACTCGTTACCGATATTCAAGGAATTGAGAGTGACGACGAGTTTGTCTTGACGGATTCAGCGATACATTGTACCGATCCGTTACGATTCGGAAAGACAAATCTCGGTGGGAAGGGAATTCTCAAATGTTTTTTAGAAACCCACAAGTGTAATGATATTTGTAATAATTTAGGATTACGTCTTTAAACGTGATTTGACTGCAATGGTTTTTTTATGACGTAATCGATAGTTTGCAACCAGCTATTATTCGGTATGTTGGTTTCTGGCAAAATTGTGATGCTGATACTGGTGCCGCTCGAACGCTCTCTGTAAACGTCTTGCATTGAACGCTTTGCTGCTTAGCATGGATCTAGTAAACAGATAGCAAATAATTTATAATTTGTATTTTGCATTAAAAACATACCTTGAGAAAATATGGCGTCGAAGGTATTGTTAAATATTAAGCTTTGTAACGGCTTTATATCAGGGATAGTAAAAAACGCTTTTTTAGCACGTATTTATATTTCTTGTCTGGTAACTTGGTAACAATGTTGAATGTATTGAAGGTGTATGAACATTACGGAAACGCGAAATGGTGCAAGCAACAATTTATGAATACAAGAAACACGTGGCAAAGTTTGGTATAACCACTTGTCAATGATCGTAATTGTTGTTGCTAGACTTTGTTGCTATTCAGTATACTTGAAATTCAAATGCAATTGAAGCGGCCGTGTCGAATAAACATTTCTTCCACTTCTTATGGAGGTAATTTGCGTCCGACTTATGAAATGCCTATTGCTTAGTTTCTCCTGAAACACTGTCTTGCTACAACCGGATAACACCATTTTTCCCAGCATCGCCATCAAAAAATTACGGACACGTGGTGATTTTTATATTAAGATTCGAGTCTAACATAAATTTAGTATAACGATCACGAGTTAAATCTTTTAACATGTACTGAATCGACCCTGCCAAAATTTTACGACGACCACCCTGCTGATCAGTTAGTAAAATCTGTCTTTTCGAAAATCTGTATTGGCAAATTTACACAACTTATCATAACAAAGCTGTAATTCGCTGAAGTGACGAGATATATGTTACACATACATTTTCATGATTTACATATTAATATGTTTAACATATACACTAACACTTTGGCGGATAACAGCTCCATTACACCGACTTGCTCGAAAACTACAGCCAATTATCTTCATAACGATATAAAAATTTTTGTCGTTTACTTAGTAAATAGCGCCAATACAGATTTTTGAAAAGATATGTTTTACTAATTGATCAGCAGAGTGGTCGTAAAATTTTGGCAGGGGAGTGTATATTGATCTGAATCTACTGTTGAACTACCCTCCATACGTCTTTTTGATCTAGTTGTTGATGCGTAATACAACTGAGATATGTTAACCAATAATATATTTCGTAAAATTAGCAGTGTTTCAACGAATTTGGTTACGACACATCACTATCTGCTAATTGCATAAGAATTTCTACAGATCGCAAACGGCAATATCGGTGAAAATTCCCTGCATCGGACATTCAAATGTAACATATTACCAGCCATTTGGAGACCTACAATTCCAAAATTGTCTATATCAGGTTTACACCCTAGCGCACGTAGTACATCCCGTCATTGCACTCGCGCCACAATTTAACCTCATCGATTTCTTTCGTCTTAGTGCAGATTAAACGTAAACATTCGGCGTACATAAGCTCGAAAAGTCTGTCATCCAATTTAATCACGAACATTATATCAGGCCGCCTCCCCAATCGGCCTTTCCCTTTCCTATCTGCACTTGCGCTACTTTGTCGCTCGGAACTAAAGGAAAAAGAAAATTTCTTTACAAGGTAAATAATTTTCAGGTGTAACCACAGAAACTTACGTGCTAACAAAAGAAGACTTTTCCAACGGGACGTTTTTTAGCGATGCCCGAATTGCTGGCACTATAACATTCGATACGTAGGTGCCTTCACTGATTGATTCCGCAAATTCGGAACTGAAGGCTGAGTTTTTCCATGTATCGCTCAAAACATCGACGATTCCTAAAGTAACTTCTCTAAGAACGTCAACTGACTCTTTCCAGTGCCATCTTATTAGGAATAACCCCTATTCGGTGTTCAAATAGGATGACACGAATTTTCTGCACTCGTCTTGAATTTCCGTGGGTAAGGAACTAGGAACCGTTCGTCGAGCTGGTTTCTAAAATTCAGAGAGAGTTAGGATTTGATAAACATAAATTCGTTATATAGTTTTGTGGGTAAATTCCGTATTTTCACCCACCTCGCAACCTTACTTTTGTTTAGAGGTAAGAAACCACTGATTACGAAAGAGCTTACCGTTACGAACATATCTAAAATTATATTCTTGCGTAGTTTCATCCTGCCACGTCACTAATTACTTGGCTGGAAAGAGGGAATTTCCATGTTAAATCGGAAATAGAGACACTCTTTATATCTTTAAGCAAACGCTTATAAAGAGAAGATGGTTTTGATCGGAACATATTCTAGATTCGTATAATTAGAATTAAACCAAGATATGTGTATAATACTGTATATATTATATATTACCGTAAGTTTCGACACTAAATCAGTGTAATTGGCCTCGATTTGTTCCAAAGTGAGAGGTTTTTCCTTATTCTTTTACGAAAAAATGTGTTAGCGTAACAAGGATTAAAACTAAATAACTACAGTATTAATGATGTGGGTCCGTTAAATTCGAACGCTAATTTCGGTGCACATGCCGGAAACTTTTTACCAATAGATCTTCGAAAGCATACATATCTTGTTGATCTTCCCTCTTTGGTGTGATAACATAACGATAATGGGCACCATAGCCATTTATGTTACCAGTTTTTGCTAAGACACTTCCTCCACGTCTTCTGGCATACTCTCTCGCCTTAGTTAATTTTTCAGAAACTCGGGTTGTATGAACTAACCGATTGCGTCGATCTTCCGACAGTATACTTTGAGGCGGGTATTGGATCTTACCCCGATCGACGATATGCATGAGCTCTTCTCTAACAAATCCACGCGATGAAGCATGTTCTCCGTCCAAATAATATAAAGCCGGTTCGTTTTCAGAGATAATTATTTTTTGAATTGTAAATAACGTCGCGTCGGCGTCCATATTAATATTGGATCGGAGTTGCACGTTTCTGATTTTCCATGCCACCTTCCCATTCGGCGTTAGCAAGTAAATATCGAACTGTGTCACCTTCATTTAACCCAACTGGACGTTTATATTTTGTAGATGGCCTAGATTCAACTCTTTCTAATAACTTAGGCCAGGAAAGAGGAATATTTGAGTCGTCATACATAGATTTTTTTAAATGCGCTTGCAACTTCTGAACTGTTTTTTGACGTTAGGGGTATAGAATATTTGTACCTACTGGCGACATCTGCGACGTTGAGAACTCATTTAAATATTTTCTTATGTACTTTATCATTGGTAAGACGCAGAAGATCGCATTGATGTACACAATTTGGACGTGAAATTTTACCGTAACTAACTCTTGGAATATCTCTCGGCGACGGAGCATATTCTTGCCACTCGTTCTGGTTTATGAGCCAATCGCGTACTTTCTCGAATGGAAATTGAAAGCCTTCCCGTAAAAGTTTCTTCCATAAGCTCCAAGGATTAGAGTGATACCCAGTGGGTTGGTAGAATTAGCCCGCAACATAGAGCTATGATTAGAAATATAAAATTTGCTAAAGTTTGAGTTTTTGCAATTATACATTGTTATATACTCGCCAGAATCCAGTCATATTTCACAATTCGACGCGCCACTTTGTTGTTAATGACTCTTGTTAATATGTGTTTGTTTACTAACAAACGGGTTAAAAAGTTTTTATATAAGCAACCTAAGGAGACGCATAATTTCGTTTAGTTATCCAACACAAAAACCTTGTATTAATAAAATTGGTCACTGTTTTATGATATAGCTGCTCATTCAATGAGATCGAAATCAAATGGTCTCAAATTTTAAAGTTATATATTTTGAAATATACGTATTGTTTTTACTTAATGACGCAGGGACGTATTGCAATTAGCTTTTTTGAGTTACATTATAGCGAAAGTTTTATCGTAAATTTCCGAAAATCCTTATCATTGACGTAAGCCTTTGTTTTTCACTCAATATTTATACAAAATTGCTCAAAGTTCGAAAACAAATGCAGGTAGTTATCTAAATAAGTTTACTTATCGCACCAGGCCGGTTGTGTTAGGAAAACATTTAGTTTACATATGGGCTACTTTTAACATTTGATCAGCTAAATTTCATGGTGATCACTCAGGGTACTGTACATACACGTTTACTCTACGAATTTCAGATTTTTATTTAACTGGTGAGAGTGGACGCCGAAGTTGCTCTTTGCACTTTTACAATACTAATATGACTAGAAAGCGAAGAAACATAACAATAACTAGTTTAATGCATTAGTTTCAACTTCCCGTGCGATAAACTTTGCTTTCATACAGAATTTACAGGTTAGGGCGACATTATTTATTAAGAATATGTTATTCAAGCCACCAATCTGCATCGAAAGTTTATTATTAGTCAAGGCAGACACTTCAAAATTCTAAGTCAGAAGCTATAATATGATCGATAATGTAAATGTTATTCTACATTGTAACTCTATTTCTGAACTCGCAAAACTGACATCGGGCCAGAACATAACGATAACTTGTTATATAATGAAAACATAACCCGACGGAAGTTTATTATATCCGGTTTTGACTGCGTCTGTTGTTCTTATTCTGCTTCTGTGGTTATTATATAACCTAGATTTTATAATAGAAAAAAAAGAAGAAGACTAATTGCTAACGTTTACTATATAATTAGAAAACTTTTTGTTTACTTGATGTGCCCCGTGGCTCAGATCCCTAATAGCGTGTCTTTAAAGAAAAAAATTTGCCGCTTTTCACTCAAACCAAGACGCAGAAAATTAAAAAAAAAGGAGAAACTTTTTAGCTTACCAAAGTCAAAGAGAGAGCCACGCATATCTCATAACACTCGGCGGTACCGTATATTGTCGAGGTCGAAGTGCCTCCAATTCAAAGATATTCATATCATTTCCGTAATATAACACTTCGATTGAGTAACGATTGTGATAACCATGGACTCCATTATACTGTAACAAAAGCTCCATAATAGCATGTATGAGTTGTTATAGTGGACTTAATAAATGTCAATGACCATATTTTATAAGTGAAGGACTTAGCTGCAATCTTTATTTGTCATGATATTCAAGTTAATGTTCAGTGACTTATTATTTATCTGCGGAGTAGTTAGCAAAACGAGAATTTGCGTTATATCGTCAAGCCTCGATTAAATTTCAAGGCCAATTATTGAGCTCGACACAGCGCTCCTCATATTTGAGTATTTCAGATGCAATTCTTCTGCCTGTTAATATATCAAAAGCTTTTCTCGCTACATTCTACGATGAATCGTTTTCGGATAATCTTCCAATTCCGGCGATAACAAAAGTTGACTTTCGACGCAACGGCAAAATATACACTTTATTCACACTACAGATTTATTTTTATTTTGCAAATTGCCATAAAAGACAACGGCTTGCAGATGCCAATAGCTAATTGACACGTTATAACAGACTGCAAAAAATTACCAGGCATTAAACCAAGTTTTTTATTGATCCAGTTTAGTGTAGATAGTATATGCTTTCTCATGTACTAGTACTAGTACGAGCTGTCTAAAACAGATTTCAATGAAGAGTAAAATAAATAGTACAAAAATTAAAATTGCCTTCCAAGTTAAAGTCTTCAATGTTTGTAAAAGCATACGACTGCCTGAGCAATCAGGAGGAAGGAAAGGACGACGACGCCCCCGCCACACAGCAACCGCCACAGCGCTCAATTCAAACTAATAAAATCGGCATCCGTAAGTTGATAGAAATATCTCCGAGTATTGAACGTATTTATCAAACAAAACAAAGTAAAATAAGCCAAATAAGACAAAAAAGAGTTTGACGGAGAAAACTCAACTACTAGTTCGAACATTGTTGTAAGCACCGACTTAAATAGGGTCTGCCCATTTCTGCCCGTACAATTTTTCAAACTTGGGAAGGCAGAAGCTGACATGTTACAGACTGTCTTGATCTTTTGATTATATTTGTGAATATTCTATGAAAGGTAGTAGCCTCAGAGTTCTTGGTAAATTCCTATCAAGACTTAATATAATACGAGATCCTCGTCCACATGCGTTTTCTCCTGCTGATTTTATCAGTATTGGTAAAATTACGCACTACATCATAGTTTCTCTCCAAACATTATCTCCTGTTTAAATAATTACATAAGGTATTTGCTTAACCGCAGAGCTCGGAACGCATACTAGTTAGTGCAGTGTGTTGGGAGAAAACTATTTAACTAAAGCACTAAAATGCACTCCGATAGCGTGCTTATTGGAATTTTACAAACTTTTGTATGTATGCATCTTATGCTCAAACGCAGACTTATAGACCGACTAATTTCATCGCTTAATTATATATTGTTCTAACAGATAAACCAGTATCTTTATTGGCATCCCCTTTTGTTGTACGCATTTCAATAAAGTTTCTTTCCAAAACACAGGATTGTTTAGTTTGTTCTAACCAGCGGGAAAGACTTATCAATCGCGTTGCAGTCAATATCCGTGAGCTTGACGCAATGTTTTTAAGTAACAGCTTACACTAATATATTGGCTTAGTACACTATGATTCATTATTGGTTAATAAATTAATTTAAAGCCACAACAAACAAATTCAACGCACAACAAAATTGCTGTATTAGTATTGCGTAATAACAGGCGTTATTCGTTGTTCATGCGTATTACACGTTCGATATACAAAATCAAAGAGTTAAAGAAACTCTATGCCAAGCAAGGGTAAAAAAACTACACGTCTCGTATGTGAAAGAAAAACTTGTTAGACAGCGACAACGTCATCATGTCTAATTTAGTATCACAATCAAATGGGTGCTTACAAATTGACGAAAATCACCCCCGCAATCAACATAAAACTTATTCACTAGCAAAAGTATGAGACACAAGTCAAACAACAAAGAATTCATCCATGCGGTATACCGAGTCGTGAATCGTTTTTGGAAAATATTCGCCCTTGCCTGAATTGAATTAGCTAATTTCAATCTAGAGATCTGCAAAACAAGGCATTCTCCCTGGCCACGCATATTCAAAATGCCTTTTCTTACGGATGGTTAAATGAACCCTAATATTATTATGACTCTGATATAACGATCACGATTCGAACTCAAAAACGCGTATTTGTAATAGCATGGGGGAAGAATTAAGTTGGGCAGGGTATTTTTTGTTCATGTAGATTATCAGTTATTGCAGATCTATCCTTGTGCCACTGATCAAATTGATCGCACATGTCCACAATAATACTTGATTGCTTTTTTTAACAATCGTTCTTACCTGTCTTCAAGTTAGACGCCGTTTTATTGTTGCACAGTGTTATGTTTGCCGATGAGTCATCCCGGCCGGAATACAATCCTATGCAAAGCCCATCCATACCCCCTCACTTAATAGGAATACTGGGTCAGGATGGGACTATCCAGTAAGTAGCCGATGGAATCTTTAACGGACTGCACGAGCTAAAGTTTCGACAGACAGGATGAGCCGGTATTAAGTAAACGGATAGGGAGGATCTTAAAAAGGATATATTTGAAGAAAGAACTATTGAAATTGATATATAGGGAAGTTCCGGTCAATCATCGATAGTACTAAATTTCAAATATGGTATACCAAAGTGAGGGGCGATAATGCTTACTAATGCTGCAAAAAAGGTTGTCGTTTTTTTCGAGGCAGAACTACTAACGCAGATTGTTATAGAAATGGCCAAATTAGCCAAATGGTTTCATGTGCTATTCATGCATTTCAAATTTCGGATTGATAATACTATCAGTGTAACGTGATACACTTTCGACATTATGGTTCAAGATGGTGCAATATAAGATCGTGAAATTTTTTTACTTTCTCGAGATTACAGCAAAAGGCTGATCGGTTTATGTGATCAAAGGTCCTAATATTTTTACTCATACAGACTATACTAAAATTCTCGTCGTAATATTCTGTAATTACACATCGAGTCCTCCATTTACACAATCGTTTTCTCATACACATGTCTGCATACGGGTCGCTGGTAGTTGGTTGGAGACTAGAGGGTCGTCATGTTTTGGTTATCGGTGGCAATCAAGTAACAGCGAATCGCATAGAATTTGCTTTAGATGCTAGGCCAACATCGGTTACTCTTATCTATCCACGCAGCCAGATATCATGTCAGCGGATACTGGAACTCATTGTCGACAAAGCTATCACCTACCATGACAAAAAATTCAATAAAAGTGACTTGGCATCAAAAAGATTCGATTTAGTTTTAACGGCAATCGACGATGCGGACCTGTCAAAAGAGATTGCATTGGTTGCGCGTGACAATCGCATTCCAATCAATGTAGCGGAGATACCAGCCTTATGCGATTTTCTATTTATGCCAACGTTTAGAAACGGACATCTACAAATAGCAATATCAACAGCAATCTCATCCACAACGCAACACATAGCTCATAAACTACGACAACACGTGATTGAAAGTTTACCCGATGATAAAGAAGTAGTGGCTGCCGTTAACAACGTAGCTACAATAAAAGACGCTCTAGGGGCGACGTATGCCGTCGCATTAAGCAAGATAACCTCATCATTACAACTGACCAAACTCGCCAAGTTGTCAGAAGATGATATCAGACGACTGATTTCCGAGTACATCGTATCGGGAGTATCGGATGAAGATGAAGCAGACAAGGCATCCAATAGCAGCAATGATGAGAAAAAGTCTGATGTGACTGTAATCGACGAGCATGTTGATAATCAAATAACGCTCAAGTCACGTATTAATGATATTTTATTTAATCCAAATGGAAGTCTTTTGGCTAATGGCGGAGTACATTTTATTGATGGAAAGACATCGACAGCATATATAGCTTATGCTATGAGTGATACGCTGTTTGTATATCCAACCACGAGGACTAATTATAATGGACAAGTCGCAGAAGATTGGTCATCAAAGAGTCTGCCTAATGCGTTTGGACGTCAGAGTCAAGTGGTTAGAATGGAGACTAGATCGGGAGCCGCATTGGCGATAACCGGTGCAGCGTCAACATCGACAGATGGAGGCATATCGGCGCTAGTCACCTCTCAATCGATCGTAGAAATGATACCTAATCTATATGCTTTGGTATATGAAAGAGCACCATTCGTTCTTCATGTTGCTGCTTATGCATACGATGACGACATGAATGTTATTGTCGATTATTCCGATGTATTACTTGCATGTGAGACAGGAGCTGCTATTCTCTTCTCGTTCTCGGCACAGGAGACTCAAGACATGGCACTAATATCTCATTTGGCTGCGACTGTAAGTAAAACACCCTTCATACATGTGTTTGATGGCGTGAGAATGGCCCATCGGTTCACCAAAACTCAATTGATTTCACACAAAGATATAACCAAGTTATTAAACGATGTCGGGAAAAAAGTATCATCTACCGCTAATAATAATGACCCAACATCTGCTGTAAAGACGATTGAAACTGTCATTGGTGTAGTTGGAAAAGCGACTGGTAAAACATACAAATTGTTCGAATATTACGGGACCGACGATGCAGAGGTTGTAATGATTGTCAGTGGTGGAGAAAATGATATAATCAGAGGTGTAATGAGCCGATTCAAAGCATCTGGTGACAAAGTTGGAGCTGTGCTTGTACGTGTCTACAGACCGTGGTCAGAAAAGCATTTCTTTGATGTATTACCAACTACAACAAGATGTATCATAGTTTTGGAACAAGCATTCAATATTGACGAAAAATTGAGCTCATCTCTATTCACCGACGTAGTATCATCAGTTCGTTCTACCAAATGGAAAGGAACACAACCTTCAATAGTCAATACGAGATATTCGCCATCAGTATCCTTTACCCAGCAAACGGTCCGACATATACTGGCACAATACAAGTCAGGCGAGAAGATTAGTATTGAAAATATCTCAGAACTATCAGCGCCCGACACGACCCCATCGAAATCCCAGTCTGATACGAAACACTGTATATTTTGGGATACCGAGAGCGCCGATACTGTTGAAGTGGCAAACCACCTTAGTAGCATATTATCTACGTCGGCTCAGCTGAATGTCCAAAGTTACTCCAGTTACGATATTTACAACAACGGTGGCGTTGTCGAATCACATTTGTATTTTGGATCGAGCAAAGTCCTTGATGACAGCACGAAAGCAGATTATATCACGATACACGATACTTCACTTATCAGTAAATACGACATTCTCGGTGCAGCGAAAGCACGGTCGATCGTCTTGTTGAATGCCAATTGGTCGGTTGATGAACTAGATACTAAATTGGCAAACGACTTTAAACTGCGGGCAGCACAGAAAGAAATTCAATTGTATGTTATTGACGCCGGAAAGATTGTTCAGGAATTATCTCTACACCCGAATGCAATTAATATCGTCCTGCAATCTGCCTTGTTGAGCTTGTATAAACACGAATTACTAAACAGTAATATTAAACATGTAATCACATCGTTATACGAAGGCAACAACGAGAAAGAAGTCACTCGCATAATACAATCAGTCATCGACAGCACTAAAGCGTCACTCACGCGGGTAGACATACTGCCCACATGGTTAATATTGGAGGAAAGTGGTCAAGCACTTCCATCTACGGTCGTTAAAAATTCATTTGGTCATAATTTAGATCAACCGGAAACACCAAAAGCACAGTCATACACATGGCATACAGCCGCAAAACTTTTATTATTCAAAGAAGCACACAACACAACACAAGAGCTACGCCCCGATTTACCAGAAAAAACTTTCACCGTTAAAGTCCGTGAGAACCGAAGACTTACTCCAGCAAATTACGAGCGCTATCTATTCCATATAGAATTTGACACCACTGGAACAGATCTCAAGTATGATTTGGGGGAAGCTCTCGGAGTATACGGTCATAATGACACCGATGAAGTCAATCAGTTCCTAGCATTCTATGGATTAGATCCAGACCGAGTGGTGTCAATACCAGACAAGGACGGAACACATTACGAATCGAGGACAACGTTCCAAATATTCTCTCAGATTCTGGATATTTTCGGTCGACCGTCGAAGAAATTCTACGAAGCTCTTGCACAATTCGCAATCGATGTAAACGAACGTAAGCAGCTACTATGGATTGCTAGCACCGAGGGCACAGCCGAGTTTAAACGTCGCGTGGAAGATACAGTCACTTATGCCGATCTACTGTACGAATTCACATCGGCAAAACCACCGCTAGAAGACTTGGTCCAAATCGTAGCTCCAATCAAACCACGTCATTATTCGATAGCGTCATCTCAAAGCGTACACCCGAGCGAAGTTCATTTGTTGGTGGTCACTGTCGATTGGAAAACAGCGACGGGCAAGAAACGATACGGTCAATGCACTCGATATCTGGCAGGTCTGAAAGTAGGTGAAAGTGTGACTGTGTCCATTAAACCGTCTGTAATGAAACTACCACCGCGCGATGAGCAGCCGGTTATAATGGCGGGATTGGGAACGGGCATGGCTCCGTTCCGAGCGTTTATCGAAGAGAGGGCGTATAGGAAATCAAAAGGAATCAATGTTGGGCCAATGATACTATACTTTGGGTCTCGCCATAGGTCAATGGAGTACTTGTATGGCGAAGAGTTGGAAGCGTACCACCGAGAGGGACTGCTCACATATTTGAGGCTGGCTTTCTCACGAGATCAGGCGCATAAAATATATATTCAACATAAGATGCAAGAGGATGCAGAGTTGCTACATGATTTCTTGATGAAGGATGAGGGCTGGTTCTATCTCTGTGGACCTACTTGGCCCGTACCTGATGTGCGTGATGCTATCGTGAACAGTTTTGTCTCTTCAGGTGGAATGACGGATAGTGAGGCTGCTGATTGGGTTAATAAGTTAAAGGATTTGGAGCGATACATTTTAGAAGTGTATTAAAAAAATATGTAAAGCGAATGAAATTTTTGAACTACATACGATGTCTCTCATTTTTAAGATTTTTTTTTTACGTTAAGCAAGTACATGTAATACCAACTAGAAAAATTACTGCATTCTGATAACTAATAAAATTAGATATCCGCCTTACTTTCACACAACAATTGATATGGTACATAATATATTGGGATTAAGTATCAGATGTTTGAACCTTTTCGACTGTTCAATAAGGGATTTCTAATGATGACGTATATTACATTGTATATGCAAAAAGTCAGGATCTTTCCAGGTGAATAACCAAGTCTGTAAGCCGCGAGAAACTGCCCAATGATGTCGATCGAGTAATCCCTGGTTCGACTAGACAACAGGATAAACTTGTCAGCAAATTCTGTTCTATTGAAATATCAACGCGGAAAAGTGCTAATTTCGTACCAATTTTCTTGGGTTGTAATGTATTTGTTGCAGCATCGTATATCCAGCCACGTTCAGCAGTAACTAACGGTGGACAAAAAGAAGAGGAAGCATCTAATTTCCATTCTCAACTCTATCGGATTCCTCGCGATGGATGATGACTTACCTTGAGCAACTTTATCTGCAGGTACACCAATGAAATTTGACACTTCTTCGACTGTTATTGAAGAATATGCTTCTGACAAGAGCGTAAAAACACGTTCACGGAGGGTTTCTGCAAACAATCAGCAGTATGAGAAAGCATATCATAGTAAAAAAAAAACACGATTATCAGCTGCAAAATTAGTACAGAAAGCGTAAGTTCAACGGTTTACCTGCTACTTTCTTCATCAATGATCCGATCAACGGAGTCCAGGGTTTTTGTTCAACAGACATATACACGGGTGCATAATCTCGCTGCCAAAGATTGGTAGCCACATCCCAAATAGCATGTAATTGCTCAGATGAAGCTTTTATTTCATCCGGTATACGCTTCCATAGGAAACGAGCCGAGGGACTAAGATATGGGAGATAATTAGAAAGGAAAAAGAATTTACCCCCAAAAAAGTAAAAAAGCTGCAAATACTCACAGCTCATTTTGTATCAAGTAAGCAGCGAGAAAAACGCCATAAAACTCATCAAGATTAACACTGTCGTCCGGAGCTATAGCCAGCTGAAATTGTCGTAATCGAGCGAGCGAGTAAGCATCAACAGTCGACAAAAACTCGCCATTAACCAGGGAAATTAACGTTTATACTTTAAATTCTAATTCTTCACAGTGTTCTATGAGCTTTGCGACTTCGTTTTGGTCAATGAGCTCCTTTAGATCTTCCATTGCGAAAGTAAAAAAATTGAATCGTTGTGCAAAGGTGGTTAAATGCCGCAGCAGTATTTGAAGTGATAGTCGGCTCACGTTATTATTATGCCGGATTTGTACATAATAACACGGCGAACCCTCACTTGTAAATTATACAATGTCTTAGTCATTATTTTAAAGTAACCATTCGGTTACGCTAAAAGATTGGGTTTATTGACTGTTCAAATCGAATTACACGATTTCCAGTCACATTATTCTTAATTAGAAGAAGGACAATGATGCGGTTGAGTATATGAATGTTGAGACTTGGAATAACTTCGTGATAGTCCACTTGAACATTCATGCATTTGGCTTACGATGATAAATGACCAAAAGCCAAAGCATTATTTAATAAAAAAAAATATGCCATAACACTGAAAACAAATTTGAGAATTCAGTAGTATTGGACTCATGCACATATATTCGAACGAAATCTGTACTAATACACGTAAATCCAGCCTTGAACTTAACTCTATGGTTCTCGTCCATTTTTGAGATTTGCCTCCATAAAGCTTGCATGAAAACTTGATAATATCTTGTTCGCAATACTCAGCTTCAATAAAATGATGTCTCCTGCCTGCGAAAATAATAGTGGTAACAATCTTTTCGAGATTTCTGCCCGATATTAGTTTATCTGTTTAAATTAAATTAAAATGTAAATTAGCTTTTATCACGTGTAAGTAACACAATGAGAAAAAACTTTAATTCAAACCATGTCATCAACATCAGAGAGATTGTTAATAATCCAGCAATTAACCACTTGATTCAATCCTCCTTGGAAAGTGGGGGGTTGAATGCATAAGACTTGAATGGATTTCCTGTTCGCAAATTGCCTACATAAGACCAACTCAAATTGACAGAACTAAAAGAAAACCATGAATTCCTCTTGGAATTCAATGTCATGAGTTCCTAGTTCTATTCATGAAACAATTGACATCTCTGCCTAATACGAGCGAATAAATAGACCCAGAAAATATAAATATTCGACAATGCTTTAACTACTTGTACTTAGAAATGATGAGACGTGCACACCAACATTTGTGAGTGAGTTCGCCAGAATTTACTCACTTCCAACCAACCCTATTTAGAATGGATTCCATTAACTGTATTAGTATTGGATACGTATTCTACCTATCAATACTGATGAACAACTTACATTGATTCCGCTTGAAATAACGGATGAGAACTGACGATTCATATTATGCTGAGGTAAGCCGTTATCTACAGGTCATGTTTATTGAATGGTTTAAATGATTATCGACTTACGTATAATTTCATTAGTTGTGTGATGAGCATCCAGATATTTTTACCACGATGTTTGGATTCACATATGATGCATTTAGGCACAAGTATTATCTCATAAAACGTGAGGATTATGCCTGGCATGTGCGGGACGATTAGAACCCAAGATAGATAAATTCTGTCTCTATTGTAAGACGCCAAGACTACAAGATTGGAGTACGGGCAGCAAGTCATTGGATTCATTTATTATGGAGTCATGGAGTAATACGAAGTATAAGTATGATGCTTATATACAATGGATTGAATCTCTCTATTGATCAATGTACAAGAGATGACATCCATGTAGCAGAATACACGTAAATCGTTTCAGCTTTTACTGCACCGGAAGTCTTCCATACTCGCAAATTTACTCAAAAATCGGATGTGTAATCTTTTGGTGTCATTATGTATTTAATGGCTACTGGTGAATCACCTCTCGAAGAAATAGTAAATATGATTTAGTGACTTAGACATACTTTGAATAAACCGGTAATTCACGGTTTATATGGGTTTATTCGAGGATTTCTAATTAAATAGCTACCTTTGCCAGGACTTTTGTTGGCATATTAACTCTCGCCACCGGCACGATCAACTCTCCTTCTCGCTATATTAATATTATAGTTTATCCGAAAAAAGCAATCGTGTGTTCCACACGTCCAACCTTAATCCTCATGCATGTAAAACTTCTCAAATTGCCCGGCCCAATTTCGTGACTCGCATTATCCATAATCACAACTCTCGCTGTTTACCCCATTCATTTTTCTTTTCCTGTTTTTTCTTCATAGTAGTAGCCTAACAAGAACAGTCCCTCAAGTTTGAGTGAAAGCATCGTTACAAATGTCGGACGATGATGTAGTCGAAAGCATTGTTGACGACGGTAATGTTGCGGATTACAAATCACGTATAGCCGAGTGGGCTACAAAAAGACATGCTTTGCGCGTCAACCTTCAACAAGAAGCTACGGAAGAGTCTTCTCCACAACCAATAGATCCCTTGGAGGAATCTCACGCACCCCATCCAATAAAAGCCGACTGTGATCTTGGCCGCGGTCTGAAAATTCCGGGCGACGTCTACACTCGGCTCTTTGATCACCAGAAGGAAGGAGTCTGCTGGCTGTGGAACGTCCATAAAAGAAACCACGGTGGAGTGCTTGCCGACGAGATGGGCTTGGGAAAGACTATCCAAGTTATTTCG